CTAAACAAAATCCCAGGAAGCCCCGCCGCCTCCGACGCATCGCGTCCTACTATTCGGTCCTACTACTTTTCGGGTGTACGGCGATCCGTTTCGCGGGCCAGGAGGAAACCGTAGGTAGGAATATAGGAAGAATCGCGGTAGGCGCGCGCCTACGTGCCCCCCGTTCAGGGAGCGCGAGCGCGAGAGAGAGAGAGACAGCCGGAGGTGGGAGACGCGCTCCGACGACACCGTCGGCGTACTCGGGATGAAGCCAAGTAGTAGGGATAGGGAGAGATTCGCTCCCGATCGGAGCCGGCATAGTTAGGTCGCTCGCAGCCGCAGGAGCGCGTCGTAGTTTGCCATGGTGGCGCGTAGCGAGAGCATGTTCGGGTGTTACGACAGTTATTCCTACAGACTGTGGAGTTTAGCCAATGTATGGAACACCTGTCAACGTGAGTAGAATAGAAATCCATTCCAATAACAACGCAACACGGCGACGCTTTTGTTTGTTGCAACGCATTCCAATTATTCGCTTCGCAAACTTCGCATAGTTTTTTGTGTTTAGTTTTTTATTTATTTTTTATTGGTATCTTGTGTGAATCACATAATTTCGGTTGTGTCGCGAAGAATACGAGATCAATGACGTCGGTTGCTTTGGGGGTGGCCCCATGTACAGGTATTTTTTAATTATAAAAACCAGTGTGATTTGTTGTTGAACAGGTATAGGCTCTACCTGATTTTATTCGAAGTGCTTCGCGATTGGTCGACAGGTGGTTATATCAGAACGCACCTGTAGAGGTACCTACTACACCTGCCATTGTTATGTAGTTACCTGCGTGTTACCTGATTGGACAGGTGGGAGGCGCTTCGCTATTTATTTACTTGTTCATTGGCAGGTGTCGACCAATCAAATGCGAACGTGTTTTTCCTTATATTATGGTGCTCGTTTAATTTCGTTGGTTGCTGATAATTCATATTAATTCCTAATTAAATTACATTCTTACTAGTATATTGCGAAGTATTTTTTCGCAAGAAGTGCGGGATAAATTCAAATTTTTATTTCAATTTTGTACTCAATAGTTGATACACGTGATTTACCATATGGGCCATAAGAATCTATTAAAATGTTAAAATTTAGTCGGCTGCATGTTATATTGAAATTTGTGTGTGGATTATTATTTTTAATTTTTGTGCATAAAATATATTAATTTCTCATTTAAAATTTATATATTTAATCGAACAAATATTATACCTACTCTAAATTAGACACACAATTTTTAATTATTTTTTTACATGAACATAAATGAAAAACATTTACCTTTCCTTCACAAAATTATTTATAAATATTTCAATAATATAATAATAATAATAATGATAATAATAATAATAAGTGTGTAATATTTAGGTAGGTGAATTTTATTTACGATGACCGGAAAATCTGCAGATATACTAGCCGATCGTAAAATTTTAATTTACTACATCTGTAACTGCATATAATAAAATCCGTTTCGAAATGTTAAATGCGTATGAAAGTCGAACGGCGTCTTAAAAGTTTTATCTGCGAATTTTTTGCTTTTTAGTACGTTTTTTGGGTGTTCCTGTGCCAAAATTCGATTAGTGTTTACGTTAATATTGAACAACGTACCTACTTTCATTCGTTTGCTAAGTAAATTATGATATTTTCTTTAGTTTTTATGATTCCGGTTAATTAAGTAAATTATAAGTAGAAATAATTCAACTGATTCAAATTGTTATCGAATATTTTGAAATAATTTATGTTCTATTTAATCATTTTTGCATTTGAGCGCCATCTATACCAGACATTGCTAACTAACCCAAGGAGATAAAAACTATTTTAAAATCCGGAAAAAACATGACAAATTATCAACAAAGTAGATATTTAATGATTTTTTAATAAACAAATATTTTTCAATTAGGTAATTTATGATTCTTTAAATAATAATTAATATATTGATATTAAATTTTGGTGAAAGGGCCAACAAAAATTGTCGCCAAAAATTAAAAATTTTATACACTAGCTGTATTAATACCTACAGTAAATGTTTATATACAAAAATTCAACCATTTCAACACTAAATTAGTATAAATAAAAAAAATCACTAGATAAATGTCGTGAATTAAATGAATAATAATAAATTTCACAACACTTTATCCGTGTAGGTTCGTGTCCTTAATTTTCGCAAAATAAAATGATAATTCCTGTTTAGATAACCCAGATTTTTATCCATTAAATATTTCGCAACAACGCCATGATAACTCCGTTTAAATTAAATACAAAACCGCACGTTAATCTATTAATTAACTTTTTTAATTAACGATAATAAAAATGTGCAGTATGTTACCTAAACTCGACTAATACGTGTATGTACTTTTAAATAAACAGGAAATTTTAATAATAAATGTAGGTAAGCCTATAACGTGTATGATGCGTTTGAAAATTGACCATATTTATGTAAAAAATGAATAATAATTTATTTATATTTTTCCGGTTTGTTTTCTTATTAGAATTTGATAATATGTATAAATAAAATGTAAATAAATCGATAAAATAATTTATACTCATTTTAACAAGGTCGTTGTTCTCTAAAAATTAGCAAGGATAATTTATTGGGTAAAAATAAACTCTTGCAATTTAATTTTACCTTTTGGTTTTCGATAAGTTAATCTGTAAAATTTATACCTACACGTGCGGCCTTTTAGATTAAATAAAACCTGATGTTATCGAATTAAAAAACGAATCAATTTCGATAATGCCTTTCTTTCGAATTAATTAGAATGCTCGATTTTAATGACACTTGGGGAAAATGCAACTAGAAAATCCTTTTATTTATCTAATTTATTCGAAGTTTTAAAAAAGGCTGTCACATAGATCGAATTAGGTAAATAATACATTCGATAAAAATATTTTCGTGTGTTTAATGCTCCGTGTAATTGGGTTACGTATTAATAGAATTATGGTAAAAATACCTTCGGGATTTCTTTTATAAAAATTTTGTATTTTTTTTACAACGATTTACGGCAGATCTATTATTAAAAAATAGATAATACGGAAAAGATTCGAAAGTATATTTCGCTTGATTATTTTATGTGCACATTTACATCTTGTATAAAATAAATGAGTATCATTATCTCATTTTGAGTGATACAGTGAGTTTATTTTTGAGTAATTGGTTAGAATATAACATTGTCTTGTAACCAGCAAATATTTAAATGTTTGTAAATATAAATACCGTTGATTATACTACGAGCAATTTCTGAAAAATATCGCTGGTTAGTTACCCAAACAATCGCAAGATTTCCTTATCGTTTCGAAATATCGAAAAACCGTCAGGAACCCGGCAAACCGCAATTTTTCGGTCTACGTTCGTTTCTCAGGTTAAATGCACTGTACGCAGAACAACATGCGAGCATTATTTCCTTTAATTTAATCACACAAAGGTATGCTCGACGGGAAATAATTAACCGACGTTACGTTTATTGGTAACATCCTGTGTGGCAATTAACAATTTAACGCATATGATAAAGCGCTTTTTTTCCACTTTAGCCGCGCTCGCGTCGATTTCGAAAAAAAAAAATCCGATTGATATTTGGGCCGCTTTGCACAGTGTATTTATTTGCCGAGGTGGCCGCTGCGTATTTTTTATTAGCCGAGAGAGACATGTTTTACAGCACTCAAATTCCACTTGGACGCCATCCAATTCTTTGAGCTTTGTTCTGGTCGCGCAAAAAGCGAATGTGTTTCCAAAAAGGCGGCGGAGAGAGGAGAGAGAAAAAAGAGCGCCGGCGAAAAATGTATTTTCTTTTCGCGTCTTCGCGCTCGAAACCGTTGATGAAATTCGTCGCACGTTCCGCGCTCGAATCCTCCAATTAAACGTGGCCACTTTGCGCGCATATTTCGCTAAGAATTAAATCTAATATTTGTTTGATTTAATCGCGAATTTGTACATAGACAAGTTAACGAAAAATACTTATTTTCTTAATCGTGTTGGATTGGTTTTGGAAAGGCTATAATACAAACTTTCTTAATGTTGCATTTTGTGACCAGGTGTGCTCGGTGATAACATTTCACCTAAGATAAGTCACGTTCGAATTGCGACCTGGAACTCGTCGCTCGATTAGATTCCACGAAAATCTAGCCGAGTAATGATTTATCTGATGCATAGGGAAATTTTCATTTGTAACATTAGTTTTCGAATCTCTAGAGCGTTGCTCATCTATAATATAAGGGGTTTTCCGATTTCCAATAGTTTCTCACCCCGGGGAAGTTGTATGAGTTTCAGGGAAGAAATAAAAATAAAACTTTTACAACCCTGTAGGTATATCGAAAACCAATTTAACACCCAGTATACAGGATGATGCGCATAATTAATTAGGATTTTTACACAAATTTAATATTATATTGTTGGTGCAAAACAAATATCAATTGCACGTTACTACTGTGCAGCATTGTGTCCAAGTTTTAAAAATAAATACACAAAGTAGATTAAGCTTAATACCTGTAGAATATTTAATATTTACAAGGGATGATAGAAAATTTTAATTTGAAATAATCAAATTTAACGCACAAAATTATTCACTTGTTGAATTGCGGATGAGTCACCCTGTAATCTATACCTACGTTTTGTTTATTTTGCGTATAATAGATAAATGCACGTAATTATTAGCAATAATTTTATTCGTCGTATCGAAAAGGGAAGCTGGACTGATTCATTTTGCCGCAAACGTAACTCACTCGCGAAACTAAAATTATATCTCTGTACCTCGCTTTTGTATATACAGGATGCACCGAATATACCGCATAGGTCATTGTGCACGGTCGTCAATTAGCGGTTTTACGTAAAATTAATTCTTACTAATACCTTTATCTTAATACCGAGTAGTCGTTTTGTTGTGTTTTTTAATCACACAAATATCCCATGTAGTAAAAAACTTTTGTATCGTTTTAACAGTACTTCCCCTTGGGAAAATTTGTATAAAAAATGTTCGTATCTTCGTTGCAGCTTCCCCGCTTACGAACGGCGCTATCAAAGAGGAGGACCTCGCGCCCGCGACGCCCGAGTACTTCATCAAGTGCCCCCAATGCCAGAAGGGCTGCCAGACATTCCAGGCGCTCAAGGAGCACATGGAGTGCGCCCACGTCGACCAGACGAGCGCGTCGGAGAGCGGGGGCGGCCTGACCGCCCCCAGCTCGGTGTCGCCGTCGTTGCCGTGCACCGGGGGGCCCTTCGGGTGCTCCCAGTGCACGGCCACCTTCGGCGCCAAGGACCAGCTGGAGAAGCACGAGCTGCTGCACTCTCCTAACGCGCAAGTGGTAAGTCGATTTCTCTATCATTTAGATTTCTCTATCATCAGTTGCACCAATATATCCTAGGTCTAAGTCGGACTTAAATGTGTGATCTATGATCTACTTAAGATTGGAATAAGTTGCACCATGTTCAAAAAAGGCTATTTTACCTACGATCCATTTTAATTTAGATAACTACTGACAACGTAGCAATATTGTTGAAAATTTTGAAAAGAAGGAGATGATTGTCATTTTAATAAGTGTCAAAATAACCTATTCATAGTTAAATTTTGTTTAAATTTAAATAATTGTAGGGGCGTTCTTTTTTGCAGACCAAACCTTTTAAAAAATTCTTCCTCCGAGAATGTATCAAAATAATTAGTTCTTATTCGAATTTGTCATTGCATAGGAACATCTACCAAATTAATTTCTTCCTCTACATCATCTATTATATCTACATTAAACCACAATATTTATATCTGCATTTATATCCATAATTTTACAGCTTTCCCGACAATTCTCAAATTTTTGAAGTTAATATTTTCGTCTGAAGTCGTAGAAATATCTGTGATCAATTCGTATCACAGGAAAGAGATTTTTAATTGGTGCAACAGTATAAAATTGATTTTAGAGTTAGGTCTGACTTAGGATAGGAATTCATCCTAGGATGCTTTGGTGCAACTGGGCATTAGAGTTTTATTTTTTCTTTTCTGGTCGTTATTCGTATCGAATAAATCTATATGGCGATTGTATAAGTAATAATTAATAAATAAATTGAGTTGTGCGCGGATACCGACCGGGCGACACTTTCACGATTACATTTTATTAGTGTCAAATGTCGCTCGCTGGGCTTAATTGTGTGGAAATTTAAATTTCTTGGCTTGATTAGCGTTTGACTCGTATTAATGTAGAGGTTATGAGGGCCCAGGTCAATTGTTGTGTTTACGTAACATTTAACGTTACCGTTAATGTACACATACATGCACATACACGCGAGCTCTATATGGATTTGGTACAAAACAAGGCGCATTGGCGGGGATTTTCTTCAAGGAAAAACTAGGAATTATTTTATTGGTTTTTCTCTTTTAATTCCTGTTTGTTTCATTAATTTTATTCTCTATTTTTGTGTTTGTATTTATATTTCTTCTCTGTTTATATGTCTTTATTTCTGCTAGCTTCTCTATTTCTATTAAGATTTATATCAGATTCTTCAATTTCCTCTCATTTATGATAATATTTTTTCGAGATTCATTAATTTTCTTCTCTTTCTTTATTTGTATTTCCGTTTCTTCTTTATTTATGGTCCTAATTTTATTAGTTTCATTCATTTTTCTCACAATTTATATCCTTATTTCTGTTAGGTTCTTCATTTATCTCCAATTCTTTGAGGTACTTTTTTATAATTTCATTTATTTCTTCTCTAATATCATCAAAGTTTATACTATTGTTAAACTTTCATAAATTTCCTTTCTCTTGAAATATTCTTTACATACCTACCTATTTTCATCAAAAAACTGCAAATATAAATATTTTTCCACTTATTTCTGCTGAAGTTTTTAATCATTCCTCACGCTCTTCTAGTTCTACAAATTTTTCAAAATTTTTGCCGCGATTTCGGCTCTAACAAAACTCGAATCTCTAACATTTTAGAGCCTGTTTAGTGTCGATTCCGGGCGTCACGCCAATGCAACGGCCACTCGGGATCAATTGTTTCGTCCTCCCGTCCGCAGCTGTGTCAAAAATTGCCCCCTTTCGATTAATAAATGGCGGCTTTTCTCACTTAACCTTTCTCGTTTGAGATAATTAACGCGAACCTATTCCGAACCGAAGGCGGATTTTTCATTTCTCATAGCTGACTCATACGTAAAGCATTCGATATAATGCAATCCTTGCCAAAGGTTTTTATTTTTTTTTTTCGAAATTTTTCCAGTTCAAATTATCAATTCTATTCGTAATCGTTATCGCAATAATAATTAAACTTGGAGCTTTTTCGATTTGTTTGCGCGCGATTAGAATTAATTTCGTATCAGATGCTTGTAATTGAATATGTTTAAAATAATTTTTTCGCAAGTTTATTGAACTCTCCGGCTAGGTGTGGGTCGATTCAAAACATCCAATAAATTTCGATATACATAATTTAATCCTTCGGGCATCACGCGAGCTCGCCGTGATTTTAGTTTGGCTTATTATCAAATTTTTTCGTTACAATAAAAGCGCTGCTTCCACTCAATAAACGGTTCGAGAGCATCCCACGAATCGATGTCTCCCTTCCGAGAACCTTTTTATTTTCTGTATCATCAACATCTTTACCTTTTTTGTCGCCGCTCAGTTACGGCAACGGCGCACATTGGGGCAATTAAATATCGCATAAACAAACAGAGTGTGGTTTATGAAATTGAAAAAAAAACCTGCCGATCTATTTACTTTATGACTAATGCACGGTCTGTAGAGCCATTTAAACGGCTCGAGTGGCCCCGCCAGTGACGTACAATTTAACCAGTTCGATGATGGAAATTCGAAACTAAACAAGGGAATCGAAACGGTAATAAACAAGTCTGATGTTACGATTTGTTTAGCTCTACAGAGTACACCTTATGCGAGCTGATCAAGAGGGAAATTGCGCGTACAATTCCTCGAGCGAATCGTTTTTGCCGCGCCAAAAGGGGGTGGTTTTTCCTCGCCAACGCCCCGATTACTCCCGGCGTCCTGTTTTCCCGTTTTTCCCGTTATCCTTGACGCAGGTGGACACTCCAACGACGTGCGTAATTTGAATAAATCCGGCTGTATCGCGAGGCGAACGAAAGATGAAATAACTTAATCTCGATGGGAAAAACTAGACGTCCCGGCTCGGAAAATTAAATTGTTTCGAGGGATAACGGCGAATTTGGATTCTCGACGTCGCCTCGATAGCTCGACCGAGTTTTCTTTACGGTTTCGAATCGAAATGAAAATTTCCCGAGCGGATATTCCCACAGCGAACTCGTTTATTTCGACGCACTTTCTTCTCACATTTATTCATACATAAAGCACCTAATTAATGAATTTCTGTCGATCCTTGAGTTAGGTAAGATCCTTCCATTCTTGACACACATTCCGCGAAACGTAAACACGCCGATAACCTCTCCCGACTCGTGATCGATTTCCCCATACAGTCGATATGTCATAATCGGCGATTCGATCGATTCGAAGACCCGCGCCGGAGGTTCTTTTACCCGCGGGTTCTTTTCAGTTTCGAGATAGAAAAGTTCATAAGGTTCCTAACTCGCGTCGACCGTAAAAAAATAGGGTTATCGGTCGATAAGGTGCCACGTTTTTTTGTTGTTGTTAACGTTTGTTATGATCGATGAAGAGAAGGTTAAAGTTCAATGTATCCTCATGCATGAATGGCTTGTGTAGGAATTTTGCTCGTGTACAGAGATGACTACAGAAGACAGAGGAATGAATAATATGTAGATTATAATTGAAGGTAGAAGAATTCCTGAAATTTTGACCAAAATGGATTTTATCAGAAGTGGGATAAAATTTTCCAAAGCCTCCCTCTCTTCGAATTCCTATACTATAGACATTGCAGAGAAGTCCCAACGCATTAAACACTCTCCTCGGTGTTTCCCCCGCTCCGCCTATTTTATTAAACCGTTTTGTGCGCGGTAAAAAGCCACGGAATCGGTGTGTGTGTGTGCGTTCATCTATTTTTACGCCTTACACATTTAATATCTATCTTGAAATGAGAGCTTTAATTATCGCGCCCAGCGGAGTGGCCGAAAGATATCCGACTCTCCGGCTGACAGGCGAGTTATAAAAAAACAGGAGTAACAACGGGAAAAAAATACATATAAATGTATGTGTACAAGACGCAACACATGTGTGAAATGCGGAGCGTGTGAACGAATTTACTCGGTACTTGCGCTACTCGAGTGTATCGGGGATTTATTTTTTTGGTTTGTAAGTTTTACATACGTAGGTGCTTTAAGGCCATGTGCTTTGGGTACTCTTAAAGTCGAATGGAATTGCAAAAAATAGCTTCAACTTTCTTTCTTTCTTAGATATTTTTGTAGCCTTTTCCTCGTTCCCAATCAGTCTTATGTCCTCATCCTTTGCTTCTTCGTAGGCGTCCATAATTCCTTTACCATCGAGTCGATTTTGAGCTGAGCGATTGTAAATTTTATTACATTTACCTATTTGAGTAACTATTTATAACAGAACAATTTTTTTTCAGTCGTGCAAAGTGTGCAATAAAACCTTCGCCAACGTGTATCGCCTGCAAAGGCACATGATCAGCCACGACGAGAGCGCCATTTTAAGGAAGTTCAAATGCACCCAGTGTGATAAAGCTTTCAAATTCAAGCATCATTTAAAAGTAAGTCGTTCGATCTACACCACGACCTTCAATCGCTCTCTTTATATGCGGCATGGTGTAATCGAGTTAATTCTTTTTTCTAGGAACACATTAGAATCCACAGCGGCGAGAAGCCGTTCGAATGCGGCAATTGCGGCAAGCGTTTCTCCCATTCCGGTTCCTATTCTAGTCACATGACGTCGAAGAAATGCCTGGTGATGAACGTGAAGTTGGGCAGGACAAGGGCCCCGTCGAATTCGATGCTGGACAAAAATACTCAACCGAACCTCAGGGCCGCCAAGCGATCGAACATCAGCCCTATAAACAACAACATCACGACCAGCCCCAATCACAATTCCTACCTGCCGATCCTGCCCAAGTACCCCGAAGCGGCGGCCGCCTTCCTGCAATCCTCCCTGCAATCGCCCTTCTACCTGGGCCCGCCTAGTATTCTCAACGCGCACGCCATCAGCCCCTATTCGATACCGTCGCTCGGCCACATACTGGAGCAGCTGCAGCACCAGCACCAGCAGAACCAGCAGCAACAGCAGCACCAGCACAGCCCGGCGCGGCCGGCCTTCGTCGACAACTGTGATAACAACCCCGCGTGCAAAGTCGAAAATTCCAGCAACCATTCGGAGAATTCCAACGCCTCCGAATGCGGGGACCTCGTCATGGACGAGGACGCTCAAGCGGACAACGACGTGAAAAAAGAGCCCGACAGCCGGGCCAGCAACGGCGATTTGGAGGCGGTGAAGAGGATCTTGGAGACGGTGAACGCCACCGTCACTAAGGAACTCCTCGAGGCGAATATGCAGAAGATCTCGGACACCTCGAGCGAGTGCCACAGCGTCGCTTCCGCCCATTCCCCAAAGCAGTGCTTTAGATGCATCATGTGCAAGAGGGCGTTCGAAACGCAGGGTTCGCTCGAAGAGCACGAGTGTGGCGATATCAAGAGCGAAGGTTTGGCGGCGAAATTGGAAGGAGCTTTAGAGGGAGCGCAAAACGGTAGCGTAAGCGGCGAGGACCAAGACATCCATTATAGCGCGAACGACGAAATCGATTCGGAATCCTTCACCACGACAGATCACGTTTCCGAAGACGGTAGAAAAGTCAGAGTGAGGTCGTTAATATCCGACGAACAACTAAAAATCTTAAAAGACAATTACAAATTAAACCCGAGACCCAAACGAGAAGACTTGGAGAAAATCGCATCGAACGTGGGCTTTCCGGTTCGCGTGGTGCAAGTGTGGTTCCAAAACACCAGAGCCCGAGATCGAAGAGAAGGCAAACTGATACAAGTACCCTACAGTCCTCTATCGCCCCGCTACAACCTACCATCGAAACCGCCGGCGTACGAATACACGTCCGAGCAACCCCTAGATCTTTCGATCAAACGAGAAACCAACTCGACGGAATCGTCGCCGTCCAGCTCGCCGCGCCGGCCCTCCTCCGACGCCAACACCAACGACGAGGCGGTGAATTTGAGCAGGAAGAACTCGAGGAGCCCCACGCCGTACCCGCCGCCCTACCAGCACCACTACCAGAACTCCAACTCGTCGGAGCCGCGCCGGTCGCCGTCGCCGTTGGACTTCAACAGCAGCCGCTTGGCGCAGATACTGGCGCAACCGTCGCACAAGCTCGCCCTGCCCGGCATGGGGCTCGTCCCGATGGACCAGCTCATGCAGTTCGGCGCCGCCGACTTGCCCAGCCTGTCGCAGTTCATCAGCAGCCGGATGTCGAGCTTGAGCCCCAGCGAGAAGCGCGCTTGGACCGAGGGACCCGCCGACGGCGAGGAGGATCCCGCGAATCCCAATAAGAGGAGCAAAGTGGCGCAGTTCGTGTTCAAAGGCCTCAGCAGTCCAGTATTAAGCGGCCAAGAGGCGGAAGCCGAAGGGCAGTTCTCTTGCGACCAGTGTGATAAGGCGTTTTCGAAGCAAAGCTCGCTGGCTAGACACAAGTACGAGCATTCAGGTAAATTGAGTTAAAGCGGGATTTGAATTTGGGTTTTTAAATGGCGATTGCGTTGCAGGTCAGCGGCCGCACAAGTGCGATGAGTGCCCCAAAGCGTTCAAGCACAAACACCACCTGACGGAGCACAAGCGGCTCCACAGCGGCGAGAAGCCTTTCCAGTGCAGCAAATGCCTGAAGAGGTTCTCGCATTCGGGTTCCTACAGCCAGCACATGAACCACCGCTTCTCCTACTGCAAGCCCTACAGGGAGTAACTGCGCGGGATGGCTCGTTTGTAATGTTGTGATGGTTTGTTTAGTTTACCGTTCGAAAAAAAACATAGACCGGATTTTAAGTTTGCGGTGCCATAATTTCGAAGCTTTAGTTTTTTCTCACTTTTTGAGTTCCGATATTTTTGTAACTTGTACATAACTTCTCTGGTACCTGTACGATAATACTCATAGTATACAGAGAAACAGTGCCAGAAAAAAAAATCTAAGTCTTCCACCACTAAAAGATTGTTCCGGTGGTGTAGCAGGCGATGGGGCACCAAGGCAATTGTTGTTTAAAAATAAAATGAAAAAAATTAGTCGTTTATGTGCAATTGGACGTGAGTTACGTATTTTAGTAGAGTATAATAATGAGAAAAAAAATGAAGTTTGTGATTGGAAGATTTCAGATATTATTTTTTTAATATTACCGAAAATTAATATGTAGATAATGTAAGATATAGATATTGCTTTATTGAAAGTGCCATATTATCTACGGAATAAAAATTAAAGAGATGTATAGCCTAATTGTATGGAAAGGTTTCAATACATCGATTTACCATAGTATAGTAACCTTTAGTTTGTTTAGTAAACGTTTATTTCTATATTTGCAAAAACGTGCAATTTTTTACTATACAGGGCGGCCCTATTTAAAACAGTCCAAGTGAAATAATTTTTTTTTTTGGGAAATTCCCGATGTTCAAATTGCGACCCATTTACTTTCATGCAGTAACAAAGTGTTTGTTCAACATGTTGACTGTTTTAAATAAGCCACCCTGTATATACAGCTAAATTCCAAACACTTCTATACATTTGTTGCGACCACTGTCGTATATTTCTAAGATCTGGAAACATAGGTCGAAAAAGTATCCCGTTGAAAGCTCAAAAAGTCGTCATTTAACGGGACACATTCTCTAATGCAAAATCATAGGCTGTTTCCAGACCTTAGAAATATAGGGCCGTGATTGCGACAAACCTAATTATTTCAAATTTAACAAGTTAAAAAATATAATATATAAAAATAAACGGTTACTTTTTAGATTATATATTTATATAAATGTAAACAGTACAATAAGAGGCGGATAAAAGCCTTTTGCATCGAAGTGTTACATGACAATACGTAGAAAGCTCATAGTTTTTTCGAACAATACAATGAATTAAATGGTGCAAGTCGTTACTTTTTGTAAGCATTTATTTAATCGAAAACGAAATAAGATACTGAAATACGCGTAAGTTGAACGGTGTGTTTGTTACCAATATTTCTTTCGCCTTTTTTAAGAGTATATTAAACTTAAGTGAACCGGCGATTTCGGAAGTTTTTCTGCAAGATTTATAGTCCCAAAATTACTCGACGCTCTTCTTCTTTTTTTATATTAATTGACTACTGTTACTAGGAGGTATTTTTTAATAAATTTCGCGGCGAAATTTCCGAAATTCGCTAAAAAAAGTATTCAGTCATTCCAAATTACGTACCTTAAATGTATAATTTTTCCAGTGTGCAAATTTTCTATATGTAAGATTTTTGACAATAACGTAGCTATTTGATATAAACTTATTTAGTGAAAGCGCTGTTAATAATTATTGAAAGATGCAGAAAAAAAGAAAGTAGCATTTATTCTAAACATTAAAAAAATCTCAAAGGTATGTGAGAATCGGAGATATAAGAAAAATTATATTATATATACGATTTATATTAATGCATAAAAGTTTTAATAAATCTTAAGATAATCTATGAATTTCTGTGTATAGGTATATTGTGTAAATATTGAATGTTTTTTCTCTTAATCGTCTGGAAAAAAAAGCATTTTTTACTTGTTTCTTGGACTTTTGAGAATTCGTCCTCTTATATAAAAAAAGTTTATCTACAACTCTTTTTATTTTTGTACGTTTTTTGCATTTTTTATTTAAATACGCACACTTTTTAGTCACTACTTTAATTATTGTTGCTCGTATTTCTCCTTTTTTTTTGTTAATAATATTGTATTTTTTATACATCGGCTAGTTTTACCAAAGATATTGTAATATATTTAGCCATAAAAAAATCTATATAGTTTAAAAGACGTTCTATTTTGTTTATAATTTTGTCAATTTTTTATGTTTATATAAATGGTCTTGTAAAAATGGTGATTATAACGAATGTCTGTGTATATTCTATTACAAAAAGTTGAAGAATGTATTTTACTCAACCTGAATAAACTACCTACCAAAATTATTCTCCAGTTTTTACTTTAATACACCTCCAACAAACGAAATTATAAATAATAACATGCTAATACTGAAGGGTGTGATTCTTGGACCCGTTTTAAGAAAAAAACTTCATATGCACCTATGCCCTAAACTTCTTAACTTTAGAGATATAGGGTGTTAAAATTTTAAGAATAAAATCAATTTTTTACTGTCATTTCTATACCACTTTAAATATTTTTATGAAATTTGGTGTACAGCGTTTATGCATTAAAGATCATTTTTTGACCTAAAAAGCATTTTTTATTTCCAACAGTGGCGTCCGTACTGGACCCAGGCCAAATATTTTTGAGGGTAAAAGTGGTACGCCACTGCTCTTTCTCTTGAAATAAAAATTATTTTTAGAGTCCCCATTCAATTTTGAACAAATTTGATTTCTTGACTTTTTTTCGTACGACTCGCCCTTAGGACATATGTTATGAAGTTTTTTTCTTAAAATGGGTCCAAGAATCACCCATTAACAAACACCCTGTATAAAGAAATATATTTTAATAACCTTAAACTAGAATCTTTGTATCACAAAACATAAATAAAATCTGTAATTCTATAAAAAAATGCAAACAATTAACGTCCCCAAAGTCCATTTAATCCTTTCGAAATTTCTGCAAAGACCTTTGCAACCCGTGCCCCAACAATTTAGCAACCCCCACGTTCAATCTCGACACACTCCGACCCACCGGTATAAAATAAGACATACCCTTTTTGTCCATATCCTCCAAGCAATTAAAAATCCTGCTGCAATGATTGCTCTCATCGTTCTTCTCGTGCGTGTACAGCACATCGCAGATGAAGTACCGTTTGGCCAGCAGCTCGAGCACCGGCTTGGAGAACTCGATCTTCGGTATGGTGTACGATCGGTTGTAGAAAATGATCGTACGAATCAGATAAGGCGGAATCTCGTCCTCGGGCACTATGACGTTGTCGTTGATCTGCTCGAATAGCAAGTTCATATCGAAGGTATCCTCCACATCGCACACCGTGATTTTATCTATGGCTTTGCGTATCTTGCGTACATCACTCGTGAAGTGCAGCACCCACGTAATGTCGTTTTCGTTCAGTAATATCAGAGCGTATTCGTGCTTTTTGTTGATGCTGTGTTTCGTTTCGAGGAATAGGTTCAAGGCTCTCTTCAGCATGGTGATGGGGGTGAAGGTCTCGGTGGTATCGTCGCTTGATTTGAAGCTGGTGCAGTGTTCATCGTTGGCTCTATCGATTACTAAAATGATCTTCTCCTGGACGTTTACGCTGGGCAGGGAATAAATGTCGGGCGCGACGAATTCGTCGTATTTTCTTAGATGTTCTTCGAGCTCCTTGCTCTCGTTGAAAGGTTTAATTCTGAACGTGGCCTTCGAGGAATTCGAGCAGTTGTCTTCGGTTTGTTTGTCGGAATTCGAGGATTCTTCGGCGACGTTTGTGTCGATTTCGTTGCTGTCGTATTCCATTGGAACTTCGTTTTTGATTGAATTGGGCATTTTTAACTTGTTAATACCAATAACCGGCTTTTTAAGTTGATAAGAATACCATAAACCATAAGTATTTATTTATCTTTTATCTTTTTAACAATTTTCTTGGTTATGTGTCAAGTGTCAATAATGTCAAATCAAATTTCTCTTCTTTTTCATTAAGTTGTCTAACATTTGTAACAAGTCTAACAAGTAAAATATAGATTATAATTTCTTATAGTAATTGATTACAATAATATGGACTACTAAATTGGCCTATTAATTAACATTGCCCAAATTCTTAATTGTTAATATTTACTCGAACACGTCTTAAATAATGTTTTACCTCTTGCTGTGACATAGGCAACACCAATGACACGTTGACGTTTCAACTGATATGTCCAATTCTACTTAATTTTTTTTTACTTTTATCTCTATTTTTCCGGAGAAATAATAATTTAGCTATCGCTTTTAAATATTTGAGGCATTTTTTCTGTAAAATTTTCTAAAAGTACTATGAATTGACAAACATCTGTTTAATATATTATAAATAATTTATTTATACATAAAAGGATACTTTACGTTTCGAATATATTAAATATTTAACAAGATTATTCACAAGTCCATAAAAAATACATAAATATGTTCATTATGCATACGTTAACAGCTCAGAATTTATTACTATTTTTTTAATTTCATAAGTACATAATTGAGAAATAATGTTTTTTTTTTATTGGATTCTTTCGGGACTTCGAATTTCGAATAATTTCTGAAAGCTTCTAATATAAATAGGGTAATATTGTATAAAGCAGTTAAATTGGTTATAATTTCGGTGCCTTCAAATCAATTTAAGTATATGTATGTTATAATTAAATAAAAAATGAAATTAACATTCCGTTAAAAGTATTATGTTTTTTCCTCTGTATTGTCATAATTAAGTTTCTTCCATTTAATTTCCTATACTCCTCATTTTCAAAATAATTTAGAAAAAATGGACAAGGAAAGAAACTGTGTTATAATTGTTATCAAACAAATAGAATTAATTTGTTTTGAAAACACCTAACTCGAAATTCCCACCAAATTGTTTGTATTACATTATATATAAAATAGGCGATACAAAAATGCAAGAAATATCGAGTAACCAAAAATAATATGTACTACGTAAATTGTTATATTATTATCTTTAGAATATTCGTAAATACTGATAAACAATATACATTGTATTATGATGTTTTGTATACGAGTTATAAATATATGTATTATGTATATGAAGTCCTGTATTTGGACAGGACGTTGTAAGGATAAAACCGATTTGTGATAACTAGCTGTTATTGGGTTCAATATTTGAGATATTTGAAAACCCTTGCCTGTACAATTTAATTAACAGAAGAACTGGCAATAGGAAAAAATCTCATTAAAGAATTAATGCCCGTATTCCGAAGTATTGATAAATTTGTTAATAAATTTGATATCACCAACTGGTTATGTTATAACGGTTGATAATAGTAAACGAATGATAAATACTACTTAGATGTTGTGCTACTTGCAAGCACTAACTACAGAAACTTGACAGTCTATCCAACAATGTAATAATGTCCCCGAATATTTGAAAAAATACACAATTTCACAAATAACAATTTTTAACCAAATATCTTACTAAACAAACTAACATAAACTGTAATTTTTGTAATATCAATATCGGAATTTTAAAATTTGAATCTGAATTTTATCACTGTGTATAATACAGATACGTACTACAGGTAAGTAAAGTTAGCATTAAAAAAACAATTTTCATATTTGAAAATTTCGAAACTTTTAAATTTTTCGTAATGGAAACAGATTTATCCGTCTTTATTATTCAATTTTTCCAGTTGAGATGAAGTAAAAAAAGACACCCCAAGAGATATACCGAATTAGATTCATTTGGTAAAGAATTAAATATTTATCATGTTGATTTCAAAGCTTGATAACGTTTAAAAATGCCAAATATGATTAGTTAACAAATCGTAAGCAACGTTGCCTTGCTTACAGACCGGTTTTGTAACCAATTGATTATTTCGGCTTCTGAATACCAATTGAAATTTAACGGTGGGTAATAGAGTAAGTGCAAGAAAGATTATTAAACTAACAGTGGTTAAAGTGTGAAAGTTGCAATCCCACAATATAACTCTTTCTTTTTCCTTTATACGAGATTAATGGAAATTATCTTTCTTGGACATATTACATACAAATACTTGCATTTAACTATATAAGGGGTTGGTTACAAAAATCATTTGTTATAGTACGAAACTTCCGAATACGGGCATAAGTAGACATTTTGGAAAAATTGCTCGAAATATAATACAAGAACATACTAAACATATAACCCCAAATGTAAAGATACTCGTTACAATAAAATAAACTCTCAAGCCTCACAAATACGGCTCCGACCAATACTTCACAGGACTCCCGTGCTTTTCGTACAAACTAGCCGCCTTCCCCGTGGGCTTCAACTTCACCTCCTTGGGCTTCAGCACGTTCTTGTGGTTGCTGAGCAACCTCGAAGGCGACAGCAGCGACTTGGTGCTCAGCCCCGTGCACTCCAAGAAGTGCTCGTAGGTGGGCTCGTTGGGCCGCAGCAGCGCCATGCTCTTGTTCTTGTTCTCGTTCTGGTTCTTCAACTGCTTCTCCAGGTGCTTCTTGAACAGCTCGATGGCCGTCCGGCTGAGCGTGGGGGTGATGTCCAGGTTCTTGGAGGAGCGCACCGTTCCGGCGTTGGTGATCTCGAGCGTTTTGGAGATGCGCACGCCGCCATGCGAATCCGCCTTCACCACGGTGGTCTCCTTGCCGTCCTCGTTGTCCGTTTTGATCTCCTCCACCGTGTACTCCTCGATGTCGCAATCGTCCAGCTTGAACTCCTCGAAGTTCTGGCGCAAATCGAACTTCTCGAAATTGTTCACCTTGCGCTTTTCGGGGTTGTCGAAGTTGGGGAACTTGGGCGGTTTGTTCTTCTCCGGGCTGTGCTTGATGTCGTTGATGAATTGCTGGTTGTTGAAGGTCGATATGAGATTAGATACCGTCGAGCCCATTACGATCGGTTTGCGCGCAGGAGTCTCCTTAGAATCTTTCAATTTCATAATCTGCGTGTTGTTTCGCATGTAATTATCCTGAGAGATTCGCCCGTCTTTCTCCTTATTATCTTCGTCTTCCGATTCGGGTATGAGTATCTCGGATACTTGAGGTAACTTGGGTATGTCTATGGTTTCGATTTTCTTGGGCGAAATCGGCTCGGGTTTGATCTGCTTGGCCAATTGTATGTTCATCTTCTCCACGCACTTCTTCACCACCATGGTGTCCTTCAAGTTCACCAAATCGCTCTCGTTGCTCTTGGCGTCGCCGGAGCTGTTCAATTTGTTGATGACGTCCAGCGACGTGGGCGAGTTTATCTCGGCGACGACGTTGATTTTCTTGAACGACGGGCTCTTGTTCTGCGGCAAATTGAGCTCGGATATCGAGCAGTAATCCGGCTCCGCTTCGGAGCTCTTCTCCGACGGCGGCAATCTGCTGTAGCCCTGGATTTTGTATTTCGAAACCAGGTTGATCGGCTTGGGTGGCAGAGCTGGCGGGACTCTCTGTATCTTGCTCTTCTTTATTAGTTGCTGGTCTTGTGTGGTTAGTTTCTTCTTTTCGTCCATGTCTATGTAGTGGTGGTACTGATCTTGGTTTTTGTCGGGATTGGTGAAAGTCTCGTTGCATTTGCTCAGTATTTGCTCGTAATCGTTGCTGTAGATGCTCTGTGGCGTTTCGTAGAAGTTCGGGGAATTCTGCAACGGCGTTTCGTAGTAATCCTGCTTTTCCGTTGGGTTTTCCTCTCTCGGTAAACGTTCCTCGTTAGTTTCTTCTTTGACCTCTTCATCGCTGAATGTTACTTTTTTATTCTTGGTTGATTTCCTTTCGATGTTAGGGGTCTTGGGAGGGGAGATCAATGTGTCGTTGATGTTTTGCAGCAGGATTTGATTCATGCATTCCAGTACCGGATTGTTTCTGTAGATGTTCCTGTGCTCGTCGTCCTCCTGATCGCTGGCGCTGGCGTACCAATTATCGTTCGTTTCTTCGCCCCCTTCGAATACGGGAATAGATTCGGTTATTTGGCAGGATTTTTTCTTATTATCACATGATTGATCCGCATCGCCGTTATTCGCGGCGATTTGATGGGTCTTCTCGAATATTTGCTCGATATTCTCGGTCACAGTGTTGATTTGTATGTCTACGTTTTCGGGCGGAAGTGAATCCAAATTGTCATAATCGTTACTAGTGTTATCATCGTTAGATAACGGACTGTTACTATCATTTCGTAATTTCAACACCTCGAAGTACGTACCGTTGCTCTTCCTGTGCGGTATTTTCTTGTTCCTTCTGCCGACGGAGTCCTTCCTGCAGTTCTTCGTGTAGACGTTTTTGGGCTCCAACTCCTTGCTGGAATTCTCCTCGTAGGAGCTTTCCGAATTCTTGAAATCCTTCTCCGAAAGCGTACCGTAAGTCTCGCTGCTGCTGTCCAACGATTCGAAATTCGACGACTGGTAGTCCTGGCAATCGGTGAGCACGTACTCCGTGCTGCTGTCGAGGCTCTCCTGTATGGGACTCGACGAATAGTACTGCCTGCAGTTCTTGCAGTACTGGTTGATCAGCAACTTCTTGATCTCGTTGTTCTGCTTCCTGATGATCCGATCCTTCTCGTTGAGCTGCTTGGTGATGAACTTCTGCTCCTGTCGCAGCCGCGCCTCGAATATCAGCAGCGCCCGCAGGACTTTCGCCAGCTGGTCGTCCCTCAGGACCTTCTCGCTTACGTATTGGTGCTCTTTCTCCTGCAGCTTGCGCGTGTATTCGGCCACCAGTTGCCTGCAGCGCTTCGCTTGGAGCCGCAGGGCGTTCTGGACCTTCTCTAATTCGTCGCGCAGGAACTGCACTTCCGATTCTGCGCCCACCTGCAAGAATACACCAATTAATACACTAGATATAATAGTAACGTAATTAACAATGACAAGAATATTTTTAATATTTGTTTCTATTATACAATGATTGTTTAATGGGTCTTCGGTTTGTGAATGAAGCGCGATTAATTAGTACAGTAGGTCAGACGTTCTGAATAGCTGGTAATAAATGTGCGTATATCTAAATGCCCGACCGGTCGTTTTTCAATACCAAGTTCACGTTATGAACACGTCCAGACCGCCATCGGTAATCAGTAGAAAGTTACTTTGGAATTTGTCTCGTTGCCTCGTGGGCACCGGATTTTTTTTCCTTCTCCTCCGCCGATCGATCAGTCGAATGTCGAACATTCTTTTGCCCATTCAAAGAGGAGTGTTCGATTTATTTTACTATCCGAAAATTTACATGTTTCTCGTGTAAAAATTGTTTTATATTACTAATAAAATTAGGCTTTTATTGATGTATCATGCACACATTGATTTTTAATAGTACCTACCTACTTTTTCAATTGAAGGTGTTTATTAGAGAGTAATTTTGAGTACTTATGGTACTTTAATAAATATGATTTATTGGAGATAATTGTAATTATGTTAATGCGATTATTTTTTGCGCCGGTTTTTAGAACACCCAGTAAGCACGTTTCCTTTTAAGTGTGACACTTTGTATTGGTACCACTGGTCGCTTCCAGGCATGACCTACCTACTTTTTCGACAGTATTAATCAGTGTCGTGGATTAAAAATTAAATTTCCTGATCGTAAGTATCCCAATAAATAAACTCGCCGATAAGAATTCCATCGAAGTTTCCAGCGCGCATTTCAATGAAATTTGCTAAACTTTAATTGATTCATGTTCAATTTGTATTAAAGATTGATGTATTTATTCCAAGATTCTAATGATAGATGTGAAGCTCAATATTTAACCAATGAAATGGGGTATTGTGGGTACAAACTTTGAACAATAAACAGGTCTTATGTGGTACTTCTTTTTAGTAAAGGCGAGTGAGGATGAGGAAAAATTCTGTTCAAATCGGACGTTTTTCAATTATATTATAGAAAACGAGCCTGCGAGTACCGGCCAGGTGAGAGAAGTCCGGCGTCTCGTGCATACAGATCGACGAGCTATCTCAGGAATGTTGTTCGATTTAATAAAGTTACGTATCGGAGTTTGTTTTTTTTTATTCGGCGTTCGTTAGATGAAAGTTTCGAGAGAGGAAAAGAGCCGGGCGAAAGGAAAATTGTACTAAGTATAGGTACTATAAGTATTCAGATCAAAATTGCATTTTTCCTCAAATAAAAAATATCCTATTGAGTTATTCAATTTTATGTGAATAATAGAAAAACACCCAGATTTTCGATAATAAGCAGGCCGTAATCATGTTATTTGAATTTAAATTATATAAAAATATTTTCATATTTTCTGAGCTCAGCTTGTAGTAGAGGATCCCAAGTAAGGTCGATTTGCACCGATTTGATAACCAGGTGAAAATTATATTTTATTAAATGAAATAGGTTTGTGAACGTGTACCAATAGGGTTGAATTAAAAATAACTTTCAATTATTCATCATTGTTTATTTACATGTTCAAATATTTAGATGAGCAAAGTCACATTTTTTTGACAAACCTCGTATACGACTGCTAAATTTTGATAACTGATAGTTGCATTTTGGGTTTTGGACCATGCAGAACTTTTTATAAAGAATAACTTTTTTACCTGGTTATGAAATCGGCGCAAATCGACCTAACTTGGGATCTTAGACTATTGCTATTAATGAGTATCTAATGAAAATATTCAATTGGTTGAATAATTTTGATTCTTTGCAACTCATTCTTAGCCCAGAATTATTCCTGATCCTTCATAAAACGAATAAATATTTTCCCTCAGTTTAAAAATCAATAGGAAAAACTCAACTACCAAAAAACTATTTTTTTTTTATAATTTTTGTCAATTTATTTACCTCCTTTTTCTCGTCACAAGCCGCCATTCCTTCTTCAAAAACTCATCGAAAACTGAACGCAATTACCGCGGTACTTCCCCCTTGAAGCACCTCCGCTCGATTGCGAATGACTATTAACATCTATTTGTTTTTACCACGAAAACCGTGTTAATTGGAATATTTTTATCACACGTAATGTTTCCTATTGCTATTAAAATTTTTATTCTATTATTATTCGGTACATTTATGATATAAATTAATTAAAGCGGTATGTTGCGTTAATAAAATGGTTCATTTAAGTGAATTTTTAACAATTCAAACATTCATCATATATTTGCATTATATTTGCACCGACTCTATAGCAGGAACTTGTCAAAAAATTGTTTCTGAACACCCACAACAGTTTAATACCTGCTGTAAATGGAAAAGAAAGAAAAGTAGAGTATCAAACAGTGTTATGCCAATCTTTCCCCTAGGTATTTGCCATTGATATTGACAATACCATTACCACTAACACAGAAATAAAATCACCAGTAAATACAAGAAGATTAAGCGTGTGCAATTGAATAGGTATCGTAACTTTCCAAATAAATTACAGATTCGCCTTGTACGTTTCGAGTAATTTCCATGCGATTACGATAATTACGAAAAATTTTTTCAGAGTGTTATTTTTTGCGAAACTCCTCGACGTCGGTAATTAATTTCTTTATCGTTTAATCTAATCTAGGCCAGAACGCGTTATAATCGAGTAATTAATGAGAAAGTTATTGCAGAAGAAAAAAAAACATTACAAGTAACGAATATTACGCTAACATTGAATTTAAATAGCGTTAGGTGTTCCGTAAATCACCGAGATTTCTTCGTTTTTATACGAGTAGAATACACGGTGGCCTTTAACCTTAAATTGCACTAATTTCAATACCAACTAAAAAAATAAAAATTAGTCACCGGATTGGATAAATAAAATAAAACCTTGAAATTAGTAATTTACAACTATTTTTTCAGTGTACTCTAAGGTTAATTACCGCCTTGGGAAAAATTGAAAAAGCATACGGGTGAACAGGAGAAATATTTAACAAATAATCCTTTTTTAGAATAATGTTGGCTATGAATGTCAAAATTTTTTAACCACCCTGTACATATAGGAAATGTTATTGAATTATTGAAACTCGAAAGCACAGAAAAATATCTTACCTGCCATATCATATTACATAAAAATAATTATTACAACATACAAAATACTCGGATGAGCTAGTTATCATTAATATTTATAGATTTACCGCCGGCAGGAAAGTTTTTCAAGTACGCGATCGAAATATAAATTAATTTTCATATCGAAATACGTACTTACGTCATTTTGAGACCATAAAAATCGAGTGAAACTGTTATTGAGCCGAGAAAATTTTGTATTAAATTAACAGTTAAGTTCCCGGCATTTTTGCGGTGAGACAGACTCGCAAAATGTAGTAATATTGCTCAAATTAAATTTAGAACATGACGGTATTTTATAATTTATAATCTAATAAACCGAGAGGAATGAAAGGATTCTTCTTTCAAGAAAAAATATGTGCTATTGTATAGTTTTGTTAGATAACATTCCTGTGTTTATGTACAACTTAATTAAAATTGTGTAGTACTTATTAATTATTCTACAAAAGCTATAAAAGTGGATTTTTATGGACATTTGCGTGGTCGGACCAGAATGTAAACAAGAAAAATTGCATTTTTTTTAAATTTATTCGTGTTAACAACTTAAGAAAGGTACCTACTAAAAAAAAGTAGTGTCTACTACTGCTTCCTGGCAAGTGATTTGTTACAAAATATATTTGTTTTTATTGACTAAATAATGCAATTTTCGCGCATAGTATAGTAAAGTAAGAGCTTAATAATTATATTGGGTGCGTTCAGGGAATGCAACTGTTGGCAACTGTTGCCAATAGTTGCCTGCAGCGGTTCCCTGAACTACAACGCTAAGCTCCTGTTGACTGGCAACAGTCGCAGTTCGAGTCAGCGTCAATTTTATTCGCTTCTATGTGCAGCATAAACAACACTAATGCACCGTTCAGAGGATACTCAACTGTTGACAGGTATCGGACTCAACATACTGACTGCTACTTCTCAACGGTTATTTTCCCTGAACGCGCCCATTGTTATTAACAACTAAAAAAAGTAGTGTCTACTACTCCTTACTAACAAGTGATGTGTGTCAAAATACCTTTATTTTCATGCACTAAATAATGCAATTTTCACACAATAAGCTAAAGTAAGACCCTAATAGTTATATTGTAATTAACAATTCGTCCTTAAAGAGGTGCCAATTAATTATACTGTTTTTTATTAACTGTCACAATTATTTCTTTATTTTCATTGTATTACAAAATTAGAAACTTTCATTACTTTTACTTAATCTGTAATAAGTAATTCATTAACACCCTGTATAATCTTTCTTTTGAACTTATACTATATCCAGTCTAATTCCATGTACCTAATTAAAACGTTTTATTGTAGCTCCGAGTCCAGCCGCCCGGTCAATGAGAACAATTAAAATTAATTAAAAGCGCTTCCACTAATTTTACGTAATATTAGTTCGTGGCATTTATTTAAACAGTTTGTTAATTAATTGAGTGCCGATACTGCAGTATGTGAATATTTGGATGATTTTAAGAAGTAAGGAAAAAGAAAGAGTGACATTTGTGTCATTGCAACTTTTGACTCTGACAACTGTTATATTATTAATCTTTCTTTGTTCAACTTATAGAAACGACCATGTTGTTGTCTGAATTGAAGCAATCGGTATATTGAAAGTGAAATGAGCCAAGGTGTATAAGTATGTACTTAAATAAAGCCGGAGTTATTTGAACCAGCAATTACTCCGTTTTACCGCATAATTACCATATTGTAAATTCGTGTTTTTTTTTGTCTCTTATCGCTTCTTTTCGTTCCGCCTTTTTAATGTTACTAGCGATATAGTTACCTCAACAGAGCGTTAAAATTGTTTTTCCACAATATTGTATTATTTACAGGACATATTTATTTATACGCATTTATACCTATAGCATTATCAAAATAAATCAACAATGACGTCACCGCCTATACTTATCATAAAAATACCATAATAATTCTAAAATAATGCGACTGTAAATTAATTTAATTTATCGCGCTTAACTTGAGTCACCTATTTAATTTGCATCGGTTGTATACATAGAAAGTAAAGCATGTAAAGGGTCAACGCATTGTATAGAGTTTGTTCTTCCTTATCTCCTCTTAGTATTCCGCCTTCAGGCGGTGGAAAATGAAACTGTCGCTTCACTTTATCATTTTTGTATTTGTTAATCGACTCGCCGCAAAACAGGATATGTAAATTAATTTGTTAAGTATACCCGAAACTGCTAAATTTGTTCATTTTTTGTGGATGTAGAATGTAGGAAAAATGTAGGTAAAAACTATTTTTAAAGGGTCAGGTAGGTAGGGATATTTTTTAGGATAATACCTATATAGGTATATTTTGGGCAGGTATGTGAATGTGAAACATAATGGTCAAAAGCTCATCTTTTCTAACTAACTAAATTACAGGCATTTACTCGCACAAACGGTATAGGTAAGCATTTTAACAAGTTTAAAACGAGTAACTGGAACTTTCATTTAATGAATTGTTTATGTAAGCCTGGTTAATTAAAGACGGTTAATCATTTGTTTACAAGTAAGCAATAAATTTGCATCATCCTATATCGACTTTCATGTTCATGCATGTGGTATATTGCGATGTTGAGGTAATGAAAATGAAAACAAATTTCTACAGGTGTAAGTAATCGTATAGAGTATATCCTATTTCAACACCACCTCCTTCATATCCTGAAAAACACCATCAAAATGTTTTAAATTATTAACATTTTATTACGAGGGATGGCTAAAAAGTTTAAATTCCAACAACCGATAAATAGTCTTTTAAATTAGGTTAAATTCAGCAATTTTCCTACACGATTTTACATTAATACGTTACGCATTGCTTCCTATACAATAAGGTAAATATTTACATTTACCTTTATGTAGATTACGAGAAAGCGTTAATAAGCAACGCAAATAAAGTTATAACTGCGATATAAGTTTGTTTATAATTGTGACATGTCCGTGTTGAAGAGCTACTTATAATAATTAGTTAATATACTAGTGTAATTCGTAGCATAAAAAATTGATATTACGTATGTTTGTCTTCTTAAGTTTAATGTCATACATATACAGAGTGTTTCTAAATAATCATCATCACATCTTTTGTGTCTCAGTACATTTTCTTCCGAAAGCTTTTATACGCAGGGAGTTCATAAAATAGACGGAGGTATTTTAGAGGATGATTCCTAAAATATCTATCTACTTTTTGAACACCCTGTATAAGAGTACATATCTTATTTTCCTTTTCTCCTTATAATTGTTATTATTACAATTCTGGTTCCCAATGCACAATACAACAATTTCATTCAATATAAATTTCTATTTCTTCGTTGTGCAAAGTGGAAATTGTCGATAATTTTCCCAGAAATTGGAGTGTTTTGGAGGAAGTGTTCTGCGGACACGAATTGCTGTTTTACAATAATTTCGTTCGTGGTTTCGAACAGAACGGGTTTATACTTTATACATTTATTTACGAGGAAAAGACGATCGATTTTTATAAATATTGTCGCGTTATAAAATTAACTGTAAATAATTGTTTATTTTTTGGTCGGTTTTCGGTTCAGAATATTCGGTTTAGAATAGATTAGTGGGAAATCGTACGATAATTTATTTTCAGGATATGACACCGATTATTTCAAATATTGTCCATCTATTATTACATTCTAGAACATTTGTAGTAAATTATATGCAAGAAGAATTAAAGATGCGAAGAATAAAATTTCAGTCATGAATCGTCGAGCAATTTAATATGTAATTTGTTTTCCTACAACCTACAATTCAAACATTTAAATCTGCTGTCAGTTAGAAAATGATTTATTATTACACCTTTACGCAGACTGTATGTAACATACAATAAATATAAAACATTCCTCATGCCTGTTATTGTCCCGCATTAATTCCTATTTATTTTGGTTAATATTGCATAGGGGAATAAATGATGAGTAACATCTGTTCGATTCCCCTTAATAAATAAATTTAATTCGATATAACTGAAATAATTAATTACGATATTATTACTCAACAATTGTATATGAATGAATAACGAATTACTTACGTTAAATCTTATAGAAACCGAATGAATAAAATTAGGCAAATAAAATAGGTGAAAGATTTTTGGTAACTTACTTTAGATGGTGCATTATCCTTGTTTGTGTACAAAATCAAACTAGATTTCTTCTCGCTGGTCATGCTGCTAGTACTGCTGCTCGATTCGCTATTGTAATATTTCATTTCAACATCTATGAATCAAAAAACTGAACCACGCACACACAGGTAAAAATCCCCTTCAAACCTCCGGCCTACAAGGAAATCTTCCTTCCTCGATCATCGTTGAAATCTCCTGGTATCAAATCGCAATATCGGGCGATAACTGAATTATTTCTCTTCACGTTGTTTCTGTTGTTGTTGTTGTTGCTGAAGACGCGAACGCACGCACATAACACCAACACGTCGCTCAACTTCCAACTGTTGTTTGGTTTTGTATGGTGTAGTTTTGTATAATGTAATGATTGTGTGGAATTCCGGAGCTTCGACTCAAACGCTCGGCGGAGTGGTCGCGTAGACACTGTTGTCTGTTCTAAGGATATGTTCGCGGTCTAAGGATTTCACGAATACTCCATTGATTCCTAAGAATTACTACTGTTAATGTTAACACAAAAAAATTATTGTTTTTCCACCACTATATTAAAAATAATTTTCATAAATATTCCAAATCTTATAAAGTATATACCGAAAAAATACAGCAAAAAAACCCTGTTTAATCTACCACAAATTTAGTACCAAGTGGGAATATCTCAAAGCAATTGAGATAAAAAATATAATAAGAGGATGAGTAAAGAAAAATTCGAAAATTCCTCTGCGGTGATAAACCTTTATCGAATTTAGAGAAACAATAAACAGCAATTAACAAACGCTTCAAAAATTCGTGTTTATAAACTAATTTTTACGCAAGGCAATTTTCAGATCTTCAAACTGCAAATCACCATTATTATTCGTTCGAGGAGCACTTTTCGAATTCGTCATCAGGAATTTCTATACGCGAAAATGTTCATCGAAAACAAACCTATCACCTAATTATAATGTATGCACTAAAATACCATATAAGTAAAGGTAAATCAATTACGCGATAATTCCTAATCTAGCTTTAACGTAAAGTTCTTGAGATTTTAGGAAACTACTGAAACCTGGATGAAAAAAAAGGCGCCGGAAAAGGTGGCAACTGCGCCCGAAACGGTTAGAATTCTCCTCCGGCCCCGCAGAGTTACCTGACCGAATAAGAAAGCCGGCGCGCGAGAACCGCCGAAACTGCGGGGTACGAACTACAAACGGGTGGAAGAAGAAAATAAAAAAAAGCGGTAGCTAAGCGGATATTAAAATTCCATTATTGCACCCCTCTTTGGGAAGCCCGCTAAGCAACGTAAACCTGAAAGGTTTCCGAGTTTCTGGTCTAGTCGTCGCTCATTATTTTTAAAAATTTAAGTACAAACACGCATGACACTGGTTAGCTTTTATTTCCTCATATCTTATATTCGCCGTGTGGGGGACGACAAATGCACATATTTCGTGGGGGAGAGCGAGCGCGTGCTCCTTTGTCACAATGTGTCCTTATTCATTGTATAATCAGCTGCTCTCGAGGAAAATAAACCCATAAAAATAAGGTCGTTACTCATAAGAGTATTTATATGCACATACATGCACTATTTTCAATATCACTTAAAGGATACAATAAATATAAAAAAGAGAGATATACTGTTTGGTGCAAAACGAATATCAATTAATGCACGTCACCTATAATTTAGTACGACACAAGCAGGCAGTGTTGCTGAACTTTTATAGAGTTTACAAAATGTAAGAATTTTCTAAAATAATTGTCAAATGGCAAAATGACAAAAACAAATTGAAAATTAGGGGTACCTGTTTCACGTTTCTAAACTGCGGACGTATTCAGGGGATCACTATAATTAATCACCAAATTCCTTTATCATCTGAAATATATTTAACAGCGCGAGTAAAAAAGTACATAGTGAAATTTCTGTGAAAACTTCTGAATCTGAATTATTTAAAGCTCAAATTGTGTCATTTCTAACATGTGGAAAAGACAACAACGTAAAAAATTCTCATTTCTTGATTATTCGGCTGAATAGCCTTTAGTAGTTGAAGGTAGTAAACTAGAAAAAAGAAAAAGAAATTGAAAATTAAAAGTACCGATCGGATGACAACAGCAACTATGCAACTTGACAGTCAGTGCCTACCAACTTACTATAAGAAAATAATACAAATTTTATATACAAACGTTGAATGTTGACAATATATTTTTTTCGATGATTAAATTCTGCATTTTACCATTTTCTATCATCCCTTGTTAATATTAAATTAAAATCTGCAGATATTAAGCTTTTGATCTTTTTTGTGTATTTATTTTTTAAAGTTGGCCAAAATGCTTGGCAAGTATGACGACAGTAGTGACGTGCATTGATATTTGTTTTGCACTGACTGCATTTATCATTTTTACAAGTCCTCAGAAATGAAACTTACCTACGTTTCCATGAAAACAACCAACATAAAAACACTTCAATCACTCGAAACTCAAAAATTACAAACCCAATCAAATTTTCTTTTAAAATTTCATCGCACCCATCCCATCCGCAAAATAATGCCCCTCTAAAAATGGTAATTATAGCACTCCTCTAACACCACAAACCCACCAAAATCCACCACGTTTTCCATTCCAGACCAGCCTGTTACCGAAACCCAAACCCCGCGTGAACTGGCTGACGCCGCAGCCTAGCATCAAGCCCGTATCGAGCGCCCTCTTCGACGCCCAACAGGTGTTCAACATCAAGTCGCTGAAGGAGGTCCTGCAGGCGGAGCCGGTCCTCTCCAGGAGGAAGAAGAAGCGCGCCGCGCGCGCCAAACCCCCGCAGGCGGTCACCAGCCTCATGGAGCGCCGCAACTACCTGCAGCTGCTGATCAACAACGACAGGCTCGAGAAGAAGGCCTCGCTGAACAGGCCGCCCAAGAAGCGCCCCATCGTGATGTACGGCCAAAGGGACATCGACGACATCATCGAGTACACCAAGGCCAGGGAGAACGAAATCAGGAAGTTCAGGAACAGCGGCCAGGACAAGGAGGTCACCATCGAAGAGACTGTATGGAAACGAATATACGGAGGATTTTAAGAGAAAATTTGTGCTTTCCGAATATATATTTTTAAGTCAAATTACTTTTACTTTAAGCTTTAGTATTTGTTCCAAAGACCAAGCACCAAAGACTCTTTCAAGCACAACATTTATTATTTATAAATCCTAAACGATAATCGATGATAGTAGTGAAGAATACTAAAGAGTAATCAACTACTGGTTCCTCTTAACATAGTTTTTATAACACCTAGTGTCTACAATACAACATTAAACCGGAATAGGTAGATCCTTAGCAACGATCTTCAAAATCTGCTCTGTACTCAACCCGACGTTTTTAATATTCTTCGAAACGGCGCACCACAACTCGCCGTGGTGCGGCTCCGCCAGCAAACACCGCTGCTTCACCTCCTCCTGCTGCTCCTTGGCGCCGTGCAGCTGCTCGAACCTGTACCAATACGCCCACGAATCCCCGAGGTCCGGTTCGATCTTCAACGTCCGCTGGAACCATTCCCTGCACTTGGATATCTTCCTCTCCGACCAGAACAGCTTGCTGACGGCGAGCAACACGTGCGGATCGTGCTCGCACTTCTTCAACGCGTCCACGGACTTGGTCTTGCGCTGCGGCCTCGGCTCCATGAAGATGCTCTCCGCCCACAGGATGCCCGACGTCGGGCATTCCTGTACGGCCTTGGCCATCATGGCGTTGGAGATGTCCTTCATGCCGGCGCGGATTTCCACCTTTATGGCCTCCAGCCAGAGCTGGTCGTTTTTGGGATTCCTCAATCGCGCTTTTTCCAGCACCGATCGAGCTTTTATCAACAAACCTCGCTTCTCCTCTAACCTGGACAGCAACAACCACAGCGGTATGGAATTCGGGCACTTTTTAATACCCGAATTGTACGCATCGAACGCTTTGGATAGGTCCTCTTTCTGCTCGTATATCTGCCCGACCATCATCCAGAGCTTTTCGAATTCGGGAAACACCTTCAGAGCTTCGTCTAAGAGATGCAAGGCGGCCTTCAAATCGTTCAAAGACCACTCTAATTTAGCGCTCTTCATCATCACCCTAGGAGTCGGTGCCGAGCCTCTAGCTTTGGCCAAAAGCCTGCGGGCCCTTTCGTACTCTTTGTTCTCCGATTCCAGCTTCACGGCTGCCAGCCAGATTTCTTCGCTGTTCGGATTGGCTTGGAAAGCCAGCGATAGTATACCTCTAGCTGCTGGTACGTCACCTGTACAAAAGAGTGTATTAATAATGGTATATTGCGTCATATGAAGCGTTACTTACCCGCCAACCATTTACTTTTGGCTCCCATCAACCACAGAACCTCGCTCTTGGGACAATGCGCTACAGCTCTTTGTAGCAAACTTTCCAGGCTCTCTCTAGTGCCGTGGCTCTTCTCCAAATACGCCGCTCGCAGCCAAATCGACTTCTTTCCGGGGAACGTGGTCAGGGCTATGTTGTAGACCGTTCGAGCGCATTCGAACGCTCCTTGATTGATGCAATTCTCCGCGTCCTCCATCCACGTGTGTTTCTGGTCCTCCGGTTCGACTCCGTAACTGATGATGGCCTTCACTATGGCGCGACAACAGTGAATGTGGCCGCCCTTCTCGCTTTCGATGGCCTCTTTGAACCAGTGTTCTCTGTTGATTTCGACGCCGTTCGAACTCAACGAGGTGATGGCTCTCTCGATGATTTTTTCAACCATGTGGTGGTTGCCGTTGGCCTCTTCCAACTTGGCGGCCGTTGTCCAAATTTGCTTGTCCGTGGGTATGTTTTCTCTGGCTTTGTTGAGTACTTTCCTGGCGTTTTCGTACGTTTCCAAGCGAGCTAGAGCCAGCCAAAGTTCTAAAGCGGTGGGGCAACATTCGACGGCTCGGGACAGCAATATCCTGGCGTCGTCCGGGTTTTCCAATTCCACGGCGGCTTTCCACAGCCTGACGGAATTCGGGATGTGTTCCAGAGCTTTCCTGAACACTCTGCGCTTCGCTTTGGTTTCCGTTTCGACGTCGGCGGCTTTAATCCAAATGCGAACCGATGTGGGAATATGCCTGGCTGCTTGGGCTATTATGGCCTTAGCTGTATCGGCCGGGTTCAAACGAGCTGCTTCGAGCCACAGATCTTCGCTCTGTGGGTTTACTTCGCAACCCTTCATTATCAGGTTTCTTGCCGCCTGAGTCTTGCCTGTAACCTAGTAGAAAAAAAATTCACAATATAATTAACGAAAGAGGTTTAAGATAATACAAACTTACCTCTTCTAATCTAGCACTGGCAATCCATGCGGGGGGATGATTGGGATTCGTTTCTCTGACAGATTTGAGCAGTAACCTGGCTTTCTTTATATCGTTTATGTCTCCTCCGTAAGTAGGTATCATCGATTGTAAATCGGTGAGGTATCCTTTGGGATCGACTACCGTTTGACCTGTTACGGAGTCAGAGACTTGCGATAGTTTTACGTTCATTAGAGTGTTTCTCGCCTGGCCGATTTTCCTCAAATCCATATCTCCTGTGGGAGTAAGCATGCCAGGCGTGGATACTCCCGGTACCATGCTCGACAATCCTGAATTAGGATCTATGGAGGTAGTAGCCTCTCCGCCTAGGTTCCTCGATAACACGCTGTCTGGTAACGGGGTGAATTTTTCAGCCCTGGGGTTCCTCTGTTTCTTGTTTCTTGCATCACCTACTTCAGGTACGGTTTTCCATTCTTCTTCACTGACTTGTGCCAAGTCTCTTTTTAAATCGGAGAACTGCTGTTGGATCTTCGGTCTTTCTTGTCGATACTTTTCGAGCTCTTCGCGCAGTCTTTTCTCTCGGTATTCCTTCCGTTTCTCGTCCATACGTTTATCTATGGCCTCGTAAATCGCGTCCGCTTCAGCATCGTCTTTGTCGTAAGGATCTTTCGAAAATAAAGAGCCGCCATACCCGCTGAATTCGTCGTAATTGGAGTCGTTTAAATCTTCCTCTTCCTCTTTTTCTTCCTCCTCGTCCTTCTTTTTGGTTCTTTTGGCGGCAGGAGGAGCGTGCCTGTCGTCGGATACGTCGTTTGCATCTCTAGCAGGACCGATATCAGAACGAGTGGTGAATCCGGTGGCTCCTCGACCTACACCTGCTACGTATCCGAGAGGTGCTGGTACGCCGAGGAAGTGTTTTTTATTGCGATTAACTAAGGCTTGCGGTGGTGCTGCTGCCATTTTTATAGCATTATTTGTATTCTATAACAAACGTTTATAATCGTTCTTGTTTTTAAAAACAGTTTAACCTAAAAAGCATTTGTTTTGTCAGTGTCAAGTGTCACTAGTGTCAATGTCAATATATCTTGTTCCTTCTATCTTGTCACTTACTTAATGGTATTCAGGTACCAAATGATTAAGAACAATTGGAAGATTATTTAAATTACTTCTTTTTACAAAAATAAAATTCATTAGAATGAGTTTAAAAGTCTTTAAAGCCTTAAAACTATTAAATTAATTTATTGGTAAGAAAAGATAACTGACATGAAGTTTGTAATACATGTCAATGTCAAATATCAAAAGGTTAAGTTAATGGTGGATTTGTGAAACAATTTTGTATTATTCGTTTATTTAATTTTAATTCAGTAAACAAAACATGGAATTCGATTGTAAAATCAAGGAGTTAAACAATATAGGTGAGACTAATTTCATTGAAATCGTTCTTGTATAATGAAACCTCATAAATAAATTAATTTTTAGATATTAAACACGAGATTGATGCAGATGAATCTCATGTTGATGATTTCTATGTGGAAATACCAACAACAGTCGATAATCAGGAGGAAAAGGATGGCCCAGATTTTTGGGAATCAGCAGAACAGTTTGAGAAAGCTAACATTTTGAAAGAGGAAAATAAATTATTGAGACAGAAATTGGAGAAAATGGGGGTATATCATTTCGAGAGGCTAGAAAAAAGTAATATTTCATCCATTTCATTTCTTTACCATTATTAATAATTAATTTTTAGATGCTGGTGTAGCGTATATCATCGATTTGACTGACATTAATGTAGTTTGTAGGATATGCTTGAAAAGAAATCAATTATTAGAATCTGTTGATGGAATATTAAGTTTCGAAAATCCGGGAATAAACTCAATAAGTATTTTGAATGCATTACAATCTCTTGGTTTGGATCCGGTAAAATACTTTCTAATATATTCTCTTACATATAAAATATTTATTTCTTTTTTAAGATATCAATCGAAGATCATTTACCTAATAAAATATGTCCAGAATGCATACAGTATTTAAAGTTACTCACAATGTTTAAATATACTTATGAGAAATCCTTTGAAATACTACGAGTATACACAGAAACTTTAAAAAAAGGGAATGAAAATGTAAACAAAAATGTTAATTTTGTAACAACTTCAACAATTAAAGAAGAAATCAATAACAGTTATGAAGAATATGAAGCAAACGAAGAAGAAATTTTTGCAGATGTAAAATCGCCTAAAAATAATTCAAGCATGCAATTAGACAAAACGAAACAGTACAAGAAACCTCACAAATGTCCTATTTGTTTTGAGAATTTAACTCTATCGCAATTCCGCCCTCACATACGCAAACACACGGCCTTGAAAAAGTACCTAAATGCAGCTAAAGTAGAAAAAAACGTCAAATATTATGCACTACCTAGTAATCGGGTCAGTTTGATAAATGAAGAAAACATGCTACACAAATGCCCCTTCTGCCCAGAAAGCTTCGAAGCCACCACATTCTTAACCCACATGAATGATCATTTGAAGAACGACCAGTTTGCTTGTGATAAATGTAACAGAGTATTCATGAAAAGAAGCTATTTAGTTCAACACAAGCTGGTACATATGAAGGAATTGCCTTATCGGTAAGATTTCTATTTTTCATCCATTGCAATTTCAATGTATACATTTTTTTAGGTGTAAAACATGCGGTAAACAATTTGTATCTAAAGGAAACTACGATTATCATTTATTGGGGCACGCCGATGGCGAATTACCATACAAATGCGAATTTTGCAGCAAGAAATTCTCGAACCCTTTGCATCTGAAAAGGCATAAAACCATTCACTTAGAAAACATATCTTACAGCGACAAATACAGGATGAAAAGGTACTAAATATCAATGCAATTTTATAAATTTAGCCTCAATATGGCTTCAATTTCAGATGTAGCGGCTGCCTGCAGAGCTTCGTAAACGAGACCGAGTTCCAATCTCACGTGTGCATGTGGTCTGGCAATAGAGTTCGACACTGCAGATTTTGCAGGCAGCCTTTTAACAAATTGCAGAACCACTCTTGCAGCAAATTGATCATGCACAAAAAGGCCGTAGCGCAGAAAAAAAAGTACCAATGTTCGATTTGTAACAAAATGGTCGGGAATATAACGTTTCACAAAATGTCCGCCCATCCGGAGACCGTTCAGAAGTCACTCTGTTCCGATTGCGGGCTCTACGTGGTCAATATTTACCAGTAAGTTTTGTTATACAGAGTGTCCCGCATAAGAACCTACACAAAATCGTCGATAATTCAAAAGTTGACTTATTAACAACATATATTCTAGGCTTTTTTTACACGCCCCTGCTCTGTGTAAATTCTTATGCGAGACACCCTGTTTTGTTTAAATACTTTTGGTTATTTTGTCGGTTTTTTTTAGGCATCGAATGAAACACAAACGTACGAAATGCAACATATGCGATAAAGAATTCTCCTCTTCTAGTCTGATGAAAAAACACCAATTAATTCACACAGGCCAGAGACCGTTTCTGTGTACTTCTTGTCCGAAAACCTTCAATTGTAAATACAACCTGCAAGTCCACGAGCGAATCCACACGGGAAATAAATGCCACGTTTGTCACGTATGCGATAAAGGCTTCTTGGAAAAGTCCTACCTAAATAAGCATTTAAAAACCCACAAATACGTCATGTAATATTACGTTTTGTAATCGATTTTTTAATGATTGGTGAGACGTTTTACATAATTCATAAACATTATAACCTTAAAGCTACGTTACACATTATTTACTCTACCTCGTTAACCTTTTAATTAGACAAATAAAGTCTGTGATAATCGTTGGCGCCGAACGCGCAATTACATTTCGGGCACTTCCTCTGCCTGGTCTCGTACCTCGTTTTGAGGCAATCGTAACAGAAAACGTGGAAACATTTCGATAGGACAGCGTCCTTTCGTTTTACTTTGCAAGACGGGCACGTCAACGTCTCCTTGTACTCCCTAATCTCCTCCATCATGACTTCGTCCAACGTGGTTCCGGCCAGTTCCATTTTCTTCATCCTCTCCGCTTTGCGCTTCAATTGGGCTATCTCCTCCTGCAGGCGCTTCGTCTTGTAGGCTTCGGCTTCGAGCGAGCTCGTCTTCTCCGCCACCACTTGCTGCGCCTCCTTCATTTGGGAATGATACTTTTCTGGAATTTGAATGACATATTACCGACAATTTAACACAATAAAATAATTGTACTATACCTAAATGGAGTTTCAAATCGGCCGCAGATTGCGCCGACTCGATCGCCTTTCTCTTGTGCATCTCCATCGCTTGTTGTCGAAGGGCCAGTTCCTTTTCGACTGTAGCTAGAGTGTTTTGCAGTATGCGCTCCTTCTCCTCCAATTTCCTTACGACTAGATTACCCGCATCGACTTGCGTCGTGAGAGTACAAACCTGTTCCTTCAAAACGTCTTTTTCCTCACGAGCCAGTTTGTGTAGTTGGTTCGATTTGATCCTCTCCGACATCAGTTTGAAATTAGCGTCGTCCTTTTCGCGCAACTGCTGAATCAATCTAGAATTTTGCTCCTGCATGTCTTCGAAAGCCTGTCCCGTTACTTCCATTTCGTTTAGCAGCGCTTCCTCCTCCAGGGAACCCACAAACGGCCTTTGATGTACGTTGTGGCCGCCCCAGTTACCGTCCAAAGGCTTCTGATTGGCCACTTGCTTTTGAAGTTCGTATTTCTGCTCCTCTAATTGCTTGATTTTCTTCAAAGCCTCGTCTTCGGCCAGTTTGCGCTTGTCGTCTCTCTAGAAAAGCATTGAGAATCTTCAATTAATTGGCCCGACAAGATTACCGGATTCTTCTACTAACCTGTAGTTTCTTCAAGGTTTGTTTTAGATCCTCCACGTCTGTTCTGAGCTTCTTCTCGGCTGCCATTAATTGTACTTTATCCCTCTGTTCTTTGCTGACGCCTTTGTACATGTCCAAAAGGAGTTTCATCTCTTTTTGTTCGTTTAGAGCTTTCCTGGAATTAATATGTGATTATTCGTGGAAAATTCTCGTGCAGGGTTATTAGTACTTTAATTGATTTTTGAGATCTCGAACCAAATCGCTTTCTGCGATTTTCTGCTCCTTGGTTTTGGCGGCGTCTCTGTGGGCCTCGACCTTGGGCGTAACGTCCTTTTTGGCGCCAGTTTTGTCTTGTTTCGAGCCATCTTTTTTACCACCGGGCGATTCGCTGGCTCCTGCGGTTTGCTCTTTACCGGCATCGGTATCTTCGCTTTGCTAAAATTTATCCATACAGCTAAATAACTCAAATGCCTTCTAGTGTTTAATACCTCTGTATCGTCTTCCTCTTTTTTTATCGGTAAGTGATGTTCTTCTTTTATTTGCGAGCCGTCGCTGCTCGACATGTCTTCTTCCTTGATATCCTCCTTTTTAATGTTCTCTTTGGTGTCCTGGCTAGAACATTGGGTGCTCAATTTGTGCTGCAGATCCTCCACCTCTTTTTTGAGCTTGGGAATCTCGGTGTTGGCCTCTTTGTATTTTCTCTTGTACCTAACACAAAGGATATTTTACAAGGCGAATTTCTAATAGATTATTTAATTACCTGTGAACTTCTCCTTTGAGTTGCTGGGTGTTGTTTTGCAAGGAGGTGATTAAATGTCTCATTTCTCTGTTGATTGGTCCGGTTTGTTCGTTCGCCGCCAAATTCTGTTCAAATTCGATCCTCAACATCTCGTATTCTTTTCTCAATTGCGCCAGGAAGTCTTCCAATTGCATCACTTCCTGTCGCAGCTTTTTTTGGGCTATTAATTCTTCGCCCTGTACGAATAAATGGCGCATAAAAAGGTATTAAATGGGAATGTTTTGTTCGTTTTACCTCCATCATTTCGATGTTTCTTAAATGGGCGTTTTTGCTAGTCTGTAATTGCTGGCGAGCTTCGTCTAATTGAGTCTTCAACTGCATGGATTCATTGTAAAGTACGGAGAATTGGGATTGGAGACATTTGTATTCGGTAGTTTCCACTATAACGCTTTCAGGTAGTTGACGAATCTAAAAATTAACTTGTAAAGCGTATTTTTTAAATATATTTACGATAAACTAACATCCATCTTGAGTTTTTCGACTTCCTTTAAGGTTTCTCTGTGCGTTTGGTGCAACTTATCCAATTCCTGTAGCCTGTTGTTGGCCAATTCCTTCCATTCTTCGACCTCTTTCATCAAATCCTCGAGTTTGGCTTGAGATATGCTGGTTTGCGGTGTGGGTTTTTGTTCTTTTTCGCTCTTATCGGTGTCCCCGTGAAGTTGATGGTACGCCTTCAGTTTCTCAACGGCCTCGGCTAAATGGGTCTCCAGTTTGTCGTTTCGGTTTCTCACTTTCTCCAGCTCATATCTGAAAGATGCGAATTAAAAATTGTCTATAGAATATTACGTTTTGTGTTACTGTAAATCGTCGATTTGGTTTTTCAATTCGGCGTTTTCGGTGTCCCTGGCCGTTACGGAATCCTGTAATTCGGTTACTTTGAGGCTCAGTGTGTGGTATTTCTCGTGCAAAGTCGTATGCAGTGCTTGGAGGTTTCGATTCTCCGCTTGAAGTTGAATGTTGGTTTGACGGATAGCTTCGTCGACCGAAGGAGCATCTTCTACAAATACAAATTTAGTATTATGGGAGATATCTAGGAGTATCTAGGAGACTTACGGCCTTCTAATTCTCCTTTTAAAGCCAATGTGATTTTCTCGTTTCTCTGCATCAACCTGTCGAATGCTTGGATAACTTTAGCTACGGCTCTTCTGGATACTTGTACTCTGTTTGCTAATTTATCGTTTAATTCATCCTTGTCCCAAGTGGATAGTTGCATTAAAAAGGAAGTTGTTGCTTCGTTTTCGTCTAAAAAGGAATACATTAATGTTTGTATATGTTTTTATATGGTTGTAAATGTACTTTTGGTTTCCGATTCATCGGCCGTTTCCGCATCGAATCTTTGAAGTAAAATCCTGATATCCTCGTTCAGTTGATTCCAATATCGATTAACTACATTGAGCATGGCGTCGTCTTGTGTTTGTCGCTTCTCCAATTGCTCGATTCTCTGCCTCAATTCCTGCTCGGTTCTGCATCTCTGCTCGATTCTCTGCAAACAAATTCAACGTAGAATTTCACTATCAGAAATAACCCCCGTTGCAAATTACCTGGGCTAATTTTTTGTTTTGGAATTGAAGCACTTTTATGTCCATCTCCTCCAAAGTGGACACGGGGCCGATTAAATGGGGCTCGAAGTGGATTTTCTTTATAGGCGGCTGGCTCCCGCCGGAACCATCTTCGACGTGCCTCTTGGACATCGTTTGTGACTTAATCAACAGTCGAAATTATTTTTTATTCGATTAAATAGGAAAATTATAAGTTTAAATATTTGACACTTTGTTTATATTCTGAGAAAAGTCGGCAATCAAATCGAAAACAAATCTCGTTTCGCAGGCATTTTGACGTGTCGGATTCGGCGTTTGTGTCAATGTCATTTGTCAATAAGTGGACTAAAAAGAATAGGTTATACGTTCTAAAAATTATTCAGTAACAGAAAAGAAGAATTCAATAATGTGAAGTGAACTACGGTTTTTTATTTTACTTTACAATTATTTAATTATTAATTTAATTTATTATAGATAAGAACACTTTTGGAATAAAACCAGAATAAAAATTAATCAAACTACTGATAATATGCAAGTTGTAAGCCAATAATCATCCTCTAAACAAATAATTTTAATAATCTTTTTGTACACAGTAACAAAGAATTAAATATACCTAATTAAATTTAATATAATTTTCATCGTCGATAATTTTGTACTTGATATCCCTAAAATTCATCAAATCGGTGTACAAATTGCTAATGCTAATGTCGCGCAATTTAACGTACACAGGGGAAATCGTCTCAATGTTTGCATCTTTCGCCAAGTCATTGTAATAGCTCTCCTGGTACTTCCCCATCATGTGGGAGTTCTTCTTTGATAATCCCGTGTCCCATCTCAGCCGCATTTCCTCATCAGTAAGTCGTCGCATTTCCTCCGTCGAAGGAAGGCTCATCGATCCGTTTAAATACTCGCAAAAGTACCTAGCCTACGGCCAATTCGTAAATCTCATTTAACTTCAATTTAATTAGGAGCTTCACCTACTTGCAAATCGAACATGTGAAACGTACAAACGTTGAACGGTATCCCGATAAAGCTCAAAGTCGGTTTCTCCAAGTGTATCATGTGCTTGTAGAGCGGCTGAATGAAATTATCCTCCATCGTGATACCGCAGGACTCGTGTAGAAACGGGAAATTGTACCTGTAGCCTGTGCATAATAATATAACATCGATGTCGCGACGACAACCGTTCACGAACTCCACAGTTTTGTCTCCGATGATTCGTTTTACATCAGGCATGTGCTCGACGTTAGGAGGGAATGTTGTTGCGGATGCTCGCTCGGAATGGTGGCTGAAATAAACCTAAAGCAAGCACTTTATATAGGCTTTTAATAGTAGACATAAACATACTTTTTTCGCGAATCTGGAGACTTGCAAAGTCAAATCGAGCCCCGAAGGACCAGCTCCCACAGTCAGTATCCGTTTATCTTTGTATTTTTCTGCCGAACGGTATATGTGACTGTGTATTACCTCCCCAGAGTAATTATCTATATTTTCAATGGTGGGTACGAGGGGTTCGTTGTAGTGGCCGTTGCATACCATTATTGCATCATATTCATCAGTGAAAACTTCATTAGTATGTTTGAAAACGTGCGTTAATTCCCATTTGTTATTAGGTAGAGGGCGAACGTTGGTTACCATGCAATTCAACTGGAAGAAATAACGAATTAATTGTGAAAAGTATACTAATAGTTTTAATATTACTTTCACGTGCTGACTCAACCCGAAATAATCCGCGTATTGGTTCAAAAACTGCAGAACTTCTTTTTGAGTTAAATAGGACTTCTCCTGATCCGGTACAGGAAAATCCGGGAAACCCATAACTTCCTTGGGCAGATTAGTCCTAAATAAAGAAAGTTTCAAACTATAAGTTATTAATAAATATAAACATTAATTAATTACAAACAGATTTCATTTTCTATTGCCTAATATCTTATGTAACAGGTAATTTAATAAAATTTTCTCACAAGTGTAAATTAACGGTATACAATCGACCCAAATGCATTAAATTAAAGTTGCGCAAAATATTCTTTTCATTTCGGAAACTGGAAAATTACAGGATGTCGCAATTAAACAAGTACAAGTAGATTACAGGTATAACTAGAGACGTGATCTGCGCAACTTGCACAATAAAATAATAACCACAGCGCATCGTATTCCCATGTACACTGTAATTTAATATGGTTAAAAACTCACCTGAGATTTTGATACATGGCTGAATATACCGGGTATCCGTATTCATCGTGACCTACGCGATCTGTGTAAACCCAAACCCCGCCGATTTGGTCAGCTATTTCGAAAACGTCGCAATGGAAGCCCTTCTGAATAACTTGTCTGGCCGAGGCCAAACCGGCTGCACCAGCTCCTATGATGCCTACTCTCATTTTCGTTATTTCACCATCAAAATACCGCACTAAATCACGTCTTCCGCACGAAATCGCGGCGGCAACAAACGAGCCAGGATGGAAAACTTTCCTTTAATTCTTTCCTCTACTCTCGGACTCTCTATTCTGCGTTTGATTGCAATGATTTATCGAGGTGGGGCTTCGAATTTGCCTTCTTCAAAACTAAATGACACAATTTAAATAGCCCATTCGATAAAACTATTAAGGTTTTTACGCCTTCCAATTGGTTATGATATTAATATTCATATTACTTCCATTTACCATAACACAATATCCTTTAAATTCGATTACATTACAAAACAACTATAAACACTTATATTACTAACATTATTAAACAGAACTTGTACTATTCAGAAGAAAATATGTACGACTGTTCGTAATGTGTGAATTATTCAACATTTTTTTCATTAAGTCTACGATTGCGTAAAATATTAAAATTTCTAAGAGATAAAAGTCGATGTTGCGAAAGGGGGACAGATAAAAAATGACCCCAAGTTGTTTATTTTCGTAAAAAAGAAAATTCTAAACAACATTGCAGGTTCATGATGATTCACTAATAGATATAGCGTGCATATACTTGTAGTTTGTAGTATACTGGAAAAGAAGGCGAACAATAAAAGAATTGTTTTTATTATGTATTATTCAAATTTTACTACATACTCATGATAATATATGATTATCAATAATAATTATTTGGTAATACACATACATAGTGTTAATAAGTCTTTTTATTTCACAGTAATACAGAAATATCTAATTAACTACAGTATAATTTTCATCGTCGATAACTCTGTAATTAATCTCTCTAAAATTCATCAAATCAGTGTACAATTTCATTATGCTCATGTCGTACAATTTAACATAAACAGGGGAAATCGTTTCGATGTTCGCCTCTTTCGCCAGGTCGTTGAAATAGTCCTCCTGGTACTCGTTCATTATGTGCGAGTCTCTCTTCGACAAGCCAGCCGCCCATCTTTTCTGCATTTCCTCGTCGGTGATGCGTCTCATTTCCTCCGTGGAAGGAAGGCTCATCGATCCTTTTAAATACTCGCAATAGTACCTCGCCTACGATCAATTCGAAAATCTCATTTAACTTCAATTTAAATAGGAGCTTCGCCTACCTGCAAATCGAACATGCGGAACGTGCAAACGTTGTACGGTATCCCGATAAAGCACATAGTCGGTTTCTCCAAGTGTATCATGTGCTTGTAGAGCGGCTGTATGAATTTATCGTCTATCCTGATTCCGCAAGACTCGTCTAGAAACGGAAATTTGAACCTGTACCCCGTACATAGTATTATGACATCGATGTCGTGACGAGAACCGTTCGCGAACTCTACGGTTTTGTCTCCGACGATTCGCTTTACGTCAGTTATGTGCTCGACGTTAGGAGGAAATTTGGTAATGGATGCCTTCTCGAAATGGTGGCTGAAATAAACCTAAAGCAAGCACTTTATATGGGCTTCTAATAGTAGACATAAACATACTTTTTTCGCGAATTTGGCGACTTGCAAAGTCAAATCGAGCCCCGAAGGACCAGCTCCCACAGTCAGTATCCGTTTATCTTTGTATTTTTCTGCCGAACGGTATATGTGACTGTGTATTACCTCCCCTGAGTAATTATCTACATTTTCAATGGTAGGTTCGAAGGGTTCGTTATACTGGCCGTTGCATACCATTATTGCATCGTATTCATTAGTGGAGACTTCATTAGTATGTTTGAAAACGTGCGTTAATTCCCATTTGTTATTAGGTAGAGGACGAACGTTGGTTACCATACAATTGAACTGGAGGAAATAACGAATTAATTGTGAAAAGTATACTAATAGTTTTAATTTTACTTTCACGTGTTGCCTCAATTCGAAATAATCCGCGTATTGGTTCAAAAACTGCAGAACTTCTTTTTGAGTTAAATAGGACTTCTCCTTATCGGGTACAGGAAAATCCGGGAATCCCATAACTTCCTTGGGCAGATTAGTCCTAAATAAAGAAAGTTGTAAGTTAAATACCAATCTCTAATTAACATAATTATTAAACACGCTACAGGTATCAGATTTTATTTTCAAGTACCTACCTAATCTCTTATGTAACGGGCAATTCAATAATTTTCTCAAGTGTATTGACGGTATTCAATCGATCCAACTGTATTTAAATTGTAGCGCAAAATATATTTTTTAATTTCAGAAAATTGGATAATTACAGGATCATACAAATACAACTAAAGGTATAATAACTAGAGACGTGAATTGCGCGACTTATACAATAACATAATAAGCACAGCGCATCATATTCTCTCGTGTACTGTTACTGTTTTTTATAAAATAACTTTAATTAGATTAATTAACAATTTAATTAGATTAAAAAACTTACCTGAGGTTTTGATACATGGCCGAGTATACGGGGTATCCGTATTCATCGTGACCTACGCGATCTGTGTAAACCCAAACTCCACCGATTTTGTCGGATATTTCAAAAACGTCGCATTGGAAACCGTTCTGAATAACATGGCGAGCCGAAGTCAATCCGGCTGCACCAGCTCCTATGATGCCCACTCGCATTTTCTTTATTTCACCAACAAATTACCGCACTAAATTACGTATATTCCGCTCGAAATCGCGGCGACTACAAACGAGCCAGCATAGAAACCTTCCTTTAAATTCGATCATAAAACAATCAGCATGCAATTATTATCCATTATTAAACAACTATTATGTAACATAACAGACTTATAAAAGCGGTACTCGTAAAAAACACGAAATTCACAAGTGGCAATTTGTGAATTAGTCAGCAAATATTCTCTGATTGTTTAATTAATTCTACCAGTATGTCATATATTCAAATGATCTATGAATATATCTATGAGATAAAAGTATATAATACGAATGGAGCAGATAGAACAGATATAAGTTTGACCCCGTGTTGTTCATATTTATACAAACGAAAAAATTATACGTCGCAATTAATATTGTTATGGTTAATTAATATTAACCTTCAGACCCGGGCACCTCATAAAATAATTTATTCCCTAGAATCAATTTGTTTAAAGAAATTATGAGTAAAATTTATCTAAATTAAATATTTAGATAAACAATAAAATTAAGATAGTAAAATCTTTCTTCTAGGAACATACCATGGTTCTGTTTTGTATAAGTCACAATATCTATAGTAGGTGTTTCTAATTGGATTCTTTTAATTTATCAAACATACATAAATTCGTATTAATACTAAAAACTATAAACTTTTCTTACATTTTAAATTTTAATCACGCATTACAAATTATTTTCTGAAATAACTAGGCGTTTCCATAGGTCCTATTCTTTGTTGAGTTATTTTACCGTATCCTCCTCGGCCGGAATCGAAATCAGTTCTGTACTCATCCCTTACCTATAATATAAAAATTCCAATTTACCCAATATTTTTTTTCTAAACATTACAAAGATATAAAATGTTCGTACAATAAATGGGTCAATTAAAAACACATTTATTACAAGACATTTTAATTTCGTAATTTCCACAAACATTAGCGTTTCGAACTGAGTATTGCAGAAATAAAAACTTATAATACAGAAGAAACTGAATATGAAAATGATTAAAGGCTAACGAATAAATCCTTGTGAATCTATTCCGCCTACTTTTTGTTGAACTATTTTACCGTATCCTCCTCGACCGGAATCATAATCAGTTCTATACTCATCCCTAACCTGCAAACGGTATTTTCCAAACATCAATAAACGCTCTTAACTCTCATACAAAACATATTGTTATTTTACCTGTCCACCGGTTTTCCCCCTTCCGTATTGTCTGCCTTCTATAAAACCCGCATCCCAGTCTGTTCGTACTATTCTATCGTCCAATCTTGTCCCGTTGATATACCTACAATAACATTTTTAGTTAAGTATGCAATTTGTTTATATAGATATTTGACCTTAAGCAATTTTCTGCATCTTCGCGGTTATAATACTCGATGAAACAAAATCCACACGGTGTTTTCTTATATTTGTCCAGACCCATCACGATTCGCCTAATGTCGCCGCATTTCGAAAATAATTCGTAAATTTGTTCTTCTGTAGTGTAAAATGACAGGTTTCCTACGTACAACGTCGTAGAAAGCCTTAATAACTTGTCCTGCTCTGCTCGACTACCCTGTTACAAAAAATTGTTATTGTTTGGTTAACATAACATAAAAAGTGATAATACCTTGAAATGCTGGTCCCTGTATGAACTTAATTCAACAGCTGAAGATGAAACCGTCGACATGATTGTAGTATATTTAAAATATAGTTTAAATAAGCTATATTTTAATACTTTTGGTAAAACTTACAAATTCAGTAGACATAAACAATACTGAGATATTGACAAATGACAGTAACGACAGTTGAAGTCTACTTTTTTTTTTGAAATGACAGGTGGCTGAAAAACCAATTAAAAAATGATCAACTGTCAAATTGCGTAAGATTCAAAATGGCAATCAAGGTTTGTAAACATAACCAAAAAACATTAAAATTTGGATAATTTATAAATTACTGTCATTTTTAAGACATTACGATATGAAACTCGATACATTACGATAACATAATTCATAACTCCACTTGTGTAACAATATTTACACACATATTGTTCAAAAATAGAAACCTGATAAGAGAGGTTTCATGAAGGTCATCATGGGTATTAGTAATTTTTGCACCTTGATCACATTGTGGGGATTATATAAAAGGAGGAAACCAAAGATTAGTTGAAACAAAACGCGCGTAAATGGGTCCGTTGATCGGTGCTATCGACGAAGGAACGTCGAGCGCGAGGTTTTTGCTGTTCAAAGCGGGCACTACTGAAGTGGTTGCATCCCATCAAGAAGAACTCTCGCAGATCTACCCGAAGCAAGGATGGGTGGAACAGGATCCCATGGAAATACTCAGAATTGTCGATACTTGCATAGAAAAAACAATAGACAAACTCATATCTGCAGGAGGTAACGTTTCCGATATAGTCTCAGTGGGTATCACAAATCAAAGGGAATCCACTGTGCTATGGGATAGAAACACTGGAAAGCCATTGTACAATTCCATCGTGTGGTTAGATGTCCGGACATCTTCTACAGTCGATATCTTATTGAATCAAGGTACTTAAATGATACACCATAAACCGATATTAACAAGATTCTTTTTAGTACCGAATAAAACTCGTAATAAAAACTACTTGAAACCCTTATGCGGCTTGCCTCTGTCCCCTTACTTTAGCGCAGTGAAAATAAAATGGCTCCAAGACAACATACCCGAAATAAAGAAAGCCATGTCGGCCGGTACTTGCATGTTTGGCACCATAGACTCCTGGCTAATATGGAACCTAACAGGGGGAATTAACGGTGGTGTACACATTACCGACGTTACCAACGCTTCCAGAACCATGCTAATGAACATAGACAGTTTAAAATGGGATCCAGTACTTATTAATTTCTTCGACATTCCCACTAGCATTTTACCGGAGATTCGATCGAGCTGCGAAGTGTACGGAAGCGTTGCAAACGGATCGCTAAAAGGTGTAAAATTAGCCGGTTGTCTCGGCGATCAACAATCCGCTTTAGTCGGACAACAATGCCTTAATAGGGGACAAGTAAGTATCTATCTAACTAGTAGAAATCATCGTTAAAATTACTCTTTATAGGCTAAAGCTACGTACGGAACGGGGTGTTTCTTACTCTATAATACTGGACACACCAGAGTGAACAGCTCGCACGGTTTACTCACGACCGTAGCTTACAAATTCGGTCCAAATGCACCAGCTGTTTACGCTTTGGAAGGCTCCGTAGCCATAGCAGGCGCCGCTGTAAACTGGCTGAGGGATAATCTAGCGGTGTTGCCGTCGTTCGGACAAGCCCAAAAAATCGCCGAAGAAGCCGAAAAAGTCCAATCGGGAGAGGTGTACTTCGTACCAGCTTTCAGCGGCTTGTACGCGCCTTATTGGCAACAAGAAGCTAGAGGGTACACTACCATAATCTTAATTCGTAACCCTTTACACCGCTCTATATCCTTTGCAGAGTTATCGTTGGTATATCCGAAGACACGGAGTCCTGTCACTTAGTCAAAGCCACCTTGGAAGCGGTTTGTTACCAAACTAGGGACATATTGGAAGCGATGAACAGCGATTACGGGTCCACTTTGACGTGCTTGCAAGTGGACGGCGGGATGACTGCGAATACTCTGCTGATGCAAATGCAGGCCGATTTGGCGGGGGTAACGGTGCTAAAGCCGACTATGGCGGAGAGTACGGCCCTGGGGGCCGCTATGGCGGCAGGGGCGGCCGTGGGGCACTGGGATTTGGAAGGAACTATCGATATTCCTGCTGTTAAATGGACGCCTCGTCTTAGCGAGAACGAAAGGGATGTGAAGTATGCGAAGTGGAAGATGGCCATTGAACGAGCTATGGGATGGGATATGACTGTTTAATTGAAAATTTTTTTTCGATTTTTTGTGCAATATTTTAGTGCTACCTCTAGATAAGTTCTGAATAATAAATTACACCCAGATTTAATCTAGAGATAAAAAATGCCTTTTAGTCACGAAATTGTTGTTTTTGTATGTATATATTTTGATATATGAATTGAAGTTATTAAAAAAATTTAATATTGTACATGATGTATGATTTCTACAAGTAAACATGGAATTATCGCTATTCAAACATCGTTATCAGTAGGTTGGGTTAAATGATAACGAGGCGAAAGAGGTTTATCCAATATGCAGATCTTCAGTAGAACGTAAAGAAGGGCTCCGATGATTATTTGACCAATGGCTACCAAAATGACTACTACATATGCCGGGACTGCATTTTGTCCTAAGAAAAAAATCTTAGTTATAGAGACAAATCGTTAACGTTATAAAAAAGTTATAGAGACATGGAAGATTATTTACTTGGAGATGTTTATGTGGGTTATGATCTACATACGATTTAACGATAACGATAACAAAGCAAACATTGGGCAATAATAACTTACTCATGTAGGTTCGGTTTATTAGTTTTCTTCCGCGCAATATTTTTCTTCGACATTCTACTTCTATAGAAAACGCCAATATAAAAACTAAAAAAAAAGAAATTATTTGAGTATTATTCCTTCTGCAAATGTTTAGCAAGTCTCTAAATTTATTTAATTAATTTCGCACTAAAATAAAATGATGTAAATACACCATAATAATTCACATTTGAAAACACTTATTAGTTAAATAATTGATTTAGAATAATTACCTAAAACAACAATTAGCTTTCTGCTGAGATTCGATTTGGCGAACATTCTGATTAACATCGAATATGAAACTAACTTCTTTAATTTACCAGTACCTATTCTTTGCTCTTATCTCGGAAAATAAACAATAGTAATTTTGTAAATATTGTTTTTCTTAGTCAACGTTTTCCCGAATGAAATTCTTAATAAAACGGCAGAAATTAGCATACATATTAAGAGTATGATTGAGTCATTTTGAACCCTCACAATTGAATTGTTAATTATAAGAAAAATAGGTTATTAAATTGCAACTTGCTTAATAACCACCCCTAAATGAAAGCATAATTAATGTTTTCATTGTGCAAAAATAAAAAAAATCCCTATAAGAAAAATGTGACTAATATTTTAGCCAAAGATAAACTTTTATCTATCTATCTATATTATCTAAGTTATCTGGAAATATTTTTAGTATTGATAAAATATTGAGAGAATCGCGACAGGTTGAAACGCCTATTATTTACAATGAAGTCCCAAAAATTTCTACATTTGATGGTTGTAATAAGTAAGTAATCCTATTAATTTACCATAAATATACCAACTCATATTATTTTAGTCGTTATTGCCCTTTGTTCCCAAGAAGTGGAATGCAGGAGGAAAATTTTGATGGGAAGGAAAACCATCAATAGAACATATCTGAGTAAGTGCTCGATTACACGAATTAGTCAGAGATAAAAATCGATTCGTTATGAACAGAATTTTAAACCGATTTTTTTGCAGGAGGAATGGCTGTTCCTGCCTACGTTCTTATCATACTGGTCGGTATAGGTCAAATAATTCTCGGCGCGATTATGTACATAGTTTTGAGAAAAGTAATAATATCAAGACCAATAAGCGGAAGTTATTCAGTGGCCCCTACATCAGAACCGTAAACATGCAATTTATCTGTACGTAAATAGTATTAAGCTTTCAATTATTTTTTGTACTCGTTTCGATTTAATAAACAATTAGAAACAAATCAATAAACCACTCATTTCCCATCGAACTCGTTCACAGGATAATGGTTTTTGAATTTCTCCACGTGCTGCTTCATATACGCCATTTGCTTCCTAAAACACAAATAATTTTACTCACTCCAAAACAATTACAAAGAGTAACTTACTCTAAATGTTCCGGTGTAAATTTGTAAACGTCCTCAAACAAAATCTCCCAATGCGGCTTATGTTTCTTTTCTCCCGCTTTAAACGCCACCATAAATTCCTTTTTAGCTTCCTCCAGCCACTCTTTGTTTTTCTCATCATTCCATATACCTTTACTCGTGATATAGTACCTCAATTTAGCCACCGGATCATCGTTGGTGCTCCATTGCCGTATCTCCTCCTTGGATCTGTACGCAGTACTATCATCGGACGTCGAGTGATCTCCTATTCTATAAGTCATCGCTTCGATTAAAACGGGTTTGTTCTCGCTCAGGGCGTAATCTCTGGATTTCTTGGTGGCGTTGTAAACAGCCAAAGCGTCGTTACCGTCCACTCTAATCGTGTTTATACCGTAACCGGGCCCTCTGGCTGCTATGCCATCTCCGCCGTATTGCTCGCTCACGGGAGTGGAAATCGCGTAGCCGTTGTTCCTGCAGAAAAATATTATGGGGCAGTTTAGGGTGCTCGCGAAGTTTAGGGCTGCGTGGGCGTCCCCTTCCGAAGCCGCGCCGTCGCCGAAGTAACAAACAACGATCCGGTTCTTGCCTTTCAAAGCGTAAGCTGAACCTACGAAACATAATTCAATAACTATTCTATTACAGTAATGTATGACGTGTAACTAACCCACTGCTTGGGGTAGTTGGGTGCCCAACGGGCTGGATATGCTGATGAAGTTCAACGCGTCGCAGCCGTAATGCACCGGCATGTTTTTGCCCCGTTCGTTGTCGTCCCTGTTGCCGTAGCATTGGTCGATGAATTGCTGGAGGGCGAAGCCCCTCCACAACAGCACCCCGGCTTCTCTGTATTGGCTGTATACCACGTCGCTGGGGTCGAGGGCTGCGGCGCTACCCACGTGAGAGGCCTCCTCGCCCGTGTTCGTCATGTAGAAGGAGATTCTACCTACATATTGAAACACTTGTGTTCGAAAATTTGTAGATTGTAAAAAGTTTACCTTGTCGTTGGGCTTCGTATAGAACTTTGTCCATTATGCCGAGGATGGTCATGTCTTTGTACATTTTAATGAGAACGTCCGAGGGTAGGTTGGGGTCGTCTTCGGGTTTAATAACGTCTCCTAGTCGGTCCAACACCCTGTATACCGGTATGGGTTCGTACGAGTGCTTGCCGGTGAATTCGAGTTGCTCCGTCCATGTTGTTCGAGCGCTAGGGAACAGAGATTGCGTAGAGAATTTCTAAAAAAGCCACTGTTAGTTTTAGAAAAGTTGATAATTTGTAATATTTACCGTTTTTGAATTCTTCCATACGAGCCTAAACAGCGAAATGCTGGTTCTATTAAACATTATTTCTAATTTCTTATTAGTACAATGACGATTAGACTAGTAACCTTTGACGCGCTGATAATAAATATTAACGAAAGTTAATTATTTTTGTTTTTATCACGAAAAAATATCACCAGCGCGGTTCATTGTCTTTGTTGCCTGCTTTAAATTTAATTGAATATTTATGAGCATTCATAACCATGAGAATTTCGTTAATTACTTAAAGATGTTTATCGTGCGATGTTTAATAACTAACCAGGGAATTTTTAAAAGGTAAAATCGTAATTGAACATTTCTTCAAAAACAAATCAATTAACGATTTACATGGGAAACAAAATTACTTACGACAGGTAGAATATATTTTTTTATAAAGTAATTGAAATTAACCTAAATCATATTTTAATATAATAAACGTTTTTCCATATAATATAAATTGTTCTAAAAGCTAAAAGCCACTTGATAAACGAGTACAGAATTAATTGTTAGAATAAAAAAAATACAACCAACAACCAAGTGCAAGAAAGTTTGTTACAAAAAACATCCAACAACTTCAAATCCAATTACAAAAATATATAATCATAGTTCAAACAAATCCCAACAATTCGCAAGCGTTCTTGCACGCAGCTGTTAAATATTGTGCTTAACATTTCTACGGTTACGATTTTACGAGCTAATTGAATAGAAATGCAAAGAATAACAATTTTCAACGCCACGTCGGATAAGAACCGGGCGGGTAAGCGCCGGGCGGATAAGCCCCCTGTTGGTAACCGCCCGGCGGTTGTTGAGGGAACGGAGCCTGCGCCGCATGCTGGACGTTCTGGTAACTCCCACCAGGCGGGCCTTGAGGGAATTGATAAGAAGCTAAAACATATATTATTAGAAAAAAAACATATTAAAGACTCGATAAGTACTCACAAGGATAGGGAATCGTTCCGTAAGGATTGTATCCTTGAGGCATAGGGGGAGGCACGTAGGTCGGATAAGGAACGTTCGGTGTAGCACCGTACGGTACGGGCATTCCTGTCGCTTGTACGGGGTAAGGTAGATAACCCTGGGGCGCCTGCGGAGCGCTACTCGGGGGTGCAGGCGTCGGCTCGCTCGGCTTCGGAGGTTCTAAATAAACACATTTATGAATATTACGAACATATGACAATACAGGGCGTTAATTAATTGAGTGACGGTACTTCAGGATGTGAATATTTGGCTGATTTAAAGAAGAGAAGTTTAATTTCAATACAGGGTGTTGTCTCATAAGTTGTAATGAGAAAATTATGACAGAACAGTTATTTTTTTCTAAAACTGTAACACTCTGTAGCTCGAAAACTAAGAGGTTTAGGACATATATTAATATAAACTTTTCTTCTTAAAATCATCCAAACACTCACACCCTGAAGTATCGGCATTCAATTAATTAACATTCTGTATACTGCAATACCTGAATGATAAGTGGGAGTTGAGGGTTGAATAGACGTGGCTCGACTGCTCTCTTGCGTCAAATCCTTCATTAGTTCGTCTTTCTCGGTCTTTCTGGCGAAGCAGAAATCGGAAACTTTGTTTTGGAAAGTCACCAACATCTAAAAAAAAAACGACAATTTCTTACGTTAATTCGGTTAACGAGACACGATTAGTAGCCCAACCTGAGTAAGATCGTTGTAAAATTTAGTGCCCTCCATCAAATTGTTCTGTAAATCCCTGAAAGCGTCGTGGGCCGAAGCCAACGAGCACATCATTTGCTCTCTACCTCCTGCTGTAGAGCCTCTTTCCGATATAAATTGAGAATGGGCTTGCTAAAAATTAAAAAACAAACAATATCTTTACTACAAAGCAATTCCATTTATTCGTATATATTACTTACTTGTATTCTCTGAACCAACGGCCCTTGCTTCTCGATGCTTTCAGCCACCTGTTTCTGCAGACCACCATAGGTTTTACCGAGATTTTCAAACGATATAGCCGCCTCGTTAATGGCACCGTCTTTACTCAAAGCGCTCAAAAAGACGTCCTTCATGTCGGTAGTGGGATTCTTAAGGTCCGATTCAATAGTAACACGTTCGGCTTTGATTGTTTCGACCTTAAAATGAATTTTCGTGTAATACGATACGCCATATTTCTTCGAGATTTCAAAAGTACCTCTTCCATTAGTTGCCTTAAAGTTTGCACGGCCGAATTATTCTCGACGTTCTCGGATCCACCGCTGGGCAAAGCGGTGCCGATGGCCTCGGCGCCTTTGCTCAACAGCTCCATGCCTTGTCTGTGAGCTTCGAATTTCTCTCTCACCGTTTTGTCGGCTTGCACGGCATTGTTAATGATTTGCCTATTAAAGAACGTTAATATTTACAATACGAGTATTAATACTTTATTTACCTATATTTGGCCGAATTCGATCTGAACATTTCGGTTAATTTATCGGAAGGAGTCCGGGTCCACTTCTCCTTGAACTGGCTACGTAATTGATCGTCCGAAGCCTTTTCCTCGTCCAGCATTCTATCGGTTTCATCTAATATATCCTGGTTGCGTTTGAGCAGCTCGGGGAGTTCGGTGATCATTCTCTCCAGCTCGCTTATGCCGCCTGAAACGTACCGTTCAACGTATAATCGTTTATTCGAGTGCGATAACTTTACCTAGCGAGGCCACAGCGTTGGCTTTTTCTAGTATAGAAGGCGGTATTTCCGAGCCGTCACCTGTGGCTTCGATAGCGGCGGGCAAATTCAGGCTGGCCAGCAGACCGTTCAGCATCTGAGTGGATTCCCTCAGTTTGGTGATTTCCGTGTTGACTATCTCCGTTTTTCTGATGTCGTACGAGGCCAGCGCTTGGTGTACGGCCACCGGCACTAATTCAACAAATAGATCGTTGAATTTTTGGCTCATCGGCTGGGCTAGAGGTAGAACTTTGGCCGGTTGGGCCTTGCCGATGGACTCCATGGATTTGATGTCCGGTATGATTTCGTGGTAGATGAAATCGTTATCTTTGACCGCTTCGGCGAGGTTACGTTCGATTTTCGATGATATTTCGCTGAAGAGGTTGCGACCTGATCGGCTTACTGCAGCTTTAAGCAACTCGTTAGCTCTCTACAACATAATATAATTTATAAAATAATAAATACCAATTCAAACGGTAACGTACTCGTAATCTGGATATTTCTTTGCCGACGTTTTTATCTGCCTTGCAAACCAAACTTTGGTAGAACTCAGCGATTGCTCCTAAAGCCGCCTGTTTACCTGCAATCTGATATCCCATTGGAAGTTAAATTAAATAATCTGTTAATAAAATTAAATTACGAACCAAAGGAATCCATTCCTTGTCCCAAATATGCTTCAAGTTCTCCCTTTGGAAGGTTTTTAAGGCCTCGGCGTATAAATCCTCGCATTGGCAAGCCAATTTAGCGACGATCGAATCTTTCATATTATCTATCAAAAACATACCCATAGCATATTGAACTTACAATATTTACAAAACGTACCGTGTATTGCTTTGTGAACGAATATTTGCTGAGCTTGAGCCAACATCAGCTGCGAAAGGGCGCCTAAAGTGTCCGGGTTCAAATCAGGAGTGGGATCTTGTTGTATCGAAAGCATCACCGTGGATTTCAGGTGGTTGAATATACCAGCGGCTTGCTGGAAATACGCAATTAGTAAATTTTTCTTGCGATTGAAATGTTTAGTAACCTGTAATAATTTAGCAGCCAATTTGAGCCCTTCATCGTTTTCTACGCTTTGAGCAGAGGCGACGCTGCTCTGCAAAGCAGCGATGTTGAAAAGAATGCATACTTTTTCATAACTCAACGAAGAGATAGCTGGAATAAGAATAAGATAACGGTCGTAAATGAGTCACGCGAACTCATTAGGGTATTTACTTAGGCTCAACCGACTACCGAAGAGGTTTCCTTTGTCGAAGGCGTCCTTCCATTTGAAAGGAACTTGCAATTCGTTAGGCGGGATTTTGGATTCTAAGGCGACGAGTTGATCGTAATATCTTAAACGAATGATAAATGATTGTTGCTATTAACAGTAGAAGAGTACATGAGTCATACCCGTAAATAATCTCCAATGAGCTCTCGTATTTCTCGAACGCCTTCCATATAGCGTTGTTTCTGAGCTTCGAAAATTCGTTTACAGCTTCAGAACAATCCTCGGGTTTGTCTGCGGTGCTGTATCGAGACTGGATGAGGTTCTTCAACGGTGTAATTATGTCCACATCACTCGGTTTTTTCAAAGGAACCGATAACAATTCCGACATATTTCTATTATTTAGATTTACAACAACTGAATTACCGATAACAATCTCGCCAAATAGCGGAATTTATAATAAAACTATCACAAAACGTTGAAAGATATCTTCTTGGTATTAAAATTAATTCGTAAATGAAACAAAATTAATAAAACTCAATTCAACTGTCACTTTTATTTATAATCAAGGTTACGTTACGATACTGAATAACCTTTTCATTCGAATTTATAAAAAAAGAAGAATTATCTGTAACCGAGTTCTTAAATAGAATAAGTCAAATGGCCTCGATTTATTTATGAGAAAAAATTAATACACAACAAAAATAAGTTTTAAACATTATATTTTTAAATAAAATTAACATTTAATACAGCGAAACTCACTCTAAGTAAAAAAAATATAACCGAAAATAAGACAAATCACAAACTCCAAGAATTAAATAATGCCTATTATATTAAAATACTCCAATATTGCAAGAACTATCAACACAATCAGTTATTTCGCACCTTCCGTTTTAACCATCTTCCCGCTGTCGCCTAAAATATTCTTTTACAACAAACTTCCAACAATTTCCTCCATTAACTTACTTTCCGAACCTTCCAAATCACCACCGGAGCGACGTCGTTTGCGCGCAACTCTATCCTTTCTAAACGCCTTCTGCGGCATCGGTATGGGATCCATTCCCAACACCTAAAATATTTACATAACAAATAAATTCCTGGTAAATAAAGAGAAACGAATACGAACCTTATAAATCTGCCTATAAGCGATCAATCTGAGCGCGTACTGCGCCGAACAAGTGAGATCCTCCCTTTGCTGAGCACTCAACGCCCCCGACGCGTCGGGATTATCCTTTTCGCAAGGATCCGCCAGGCCGGGCCCGCCCGGCAGGAGCAACCCGCTCGCTACCGCTTCCATGACGCGTCTGAGAGCGTCTCCGGGCGATAGCTGGCTCGAACCCGGCACCGAAGAAATTACTTTCTCCGCGAGCAACTCCATCGCCTTCGATTAAAGGGTATTTATGTAAATTAGAAGTGGTTAGTTTTGAGTGAAACTTACCCAGGAACTGAGAGGTGACCAAGTGGGTACCCTCTGGCATAAATCTCTCAAGATTCGAATGATGATGACGCACGAATGTAGACCTAAGGCCCTGGCCTGCAATATCGAACATTTAGAAACGCGTAGACTCGCGGCGAATGTTAAGGGTTCTACCAAACTATTTATCGATAACAAACGTTTTTATACTCGACTTGCTAATGTAGTAGTTGTGTCGTAGAGACAAGAAAATAAAAAATAAAAAACAAAACTTGTGGTAATTGAAAGTAGAACCCTTTTTTGTACGTACTATAATTAATAAATTAGATGAGATGTGACGTTTTCATTTCTTCGACAAAACAATATAAGATATTTTAAACTTAATAGAAGGGAATAGAAGTTAAATGGCGTATTTTTTTATACAAATAAAATTAAAAACGAATACATAACATAACGATCGAAAAACAAAAAACCACTTCGATTCCCTAAGTTTCGACATAAATTCTATAATAATGCATTTACGGTCTGCAAAAACTCACATCATCATTTAAAATTCAAACGTTTTTGTTTATGTTTTTTCATAAATCGGTATCCGTTTTCGTGTCCGTAATACACATTAATTTGAATCTGAATAAATATATATTTTTTTGGTACAAGTATCTTTTTTTTTTCGTTAAGTGCGTTACACGGTGTGAGAGAAGACACAAACCTGGAACCATTTGGTATGTCTGAGGGCTGCCAGCGCCTGGAGACACTTGCCGCGTGAGAGAACATCCCGGTCGAACCCACCGCTCGCAGCTTCTAAGACATCGAAAAAAAGAAAAGGGTGTTTGACCATCGCTAAGCTCACCTTAGCCACAAGAAAGGGGCCCTTTTCATTCGGAGGAGCCCCGATCCTGTGTGGCGGCGATGAGCACGGTTGGTCAAAAATCCTTAGTCCCACACCACCTAAAATTCACCACTAAAAACAAGCATAAAGCACAGTACGGTTTTGTATAAGTATTGGACTGGAAAAAATCAAATTATTTAAGAAGTTCCACAATGGGTGATCGTCACCTGAGCCCGTTTGCTGACATTTTTTTTACCATTCTGTACTGAAAGTACTGAACTAAGTAGATTCTTCTTTATCTCGTATCAGTCGCCCGCTATTCGCATTAATTTCTCACCATATTTCCAGCGACTGATACAGACTGTCGATTAAACTGTAAAAAGTCCAATATTTATTAGAAATTATCAAGGTTTAAGCTGTCTAACTAACTAAACCTAATTTCACAATCGATTTTAAAATGGCAATTACAGCTAGAAATGCGTTAATCACCACCTAAAATACTAACCATTTTATATAACAAATCAAATTTGCAAGATTTCTTACAATACATTCGAAATAATGCAGAAGCCTAGAATTCATTTGATTTGCTTCACAACTATATCCTCCTTCGTACCTAAATTTACATAAAAAAATCCAGAAACGCAACGATTAAAAACCAGCTTAAACCCTGCACACGCACACGGTACTGTACACATTTAATCTCACACGCACGCTCAATCGCTACACGCCCCCTGTTACCTTGCTGTTCCCTGATCACGGGACTCGTGAACTGTACCAGCACCGTCAAATTATCCCCGGCTATGATCAATCCGGCTTCGGGCGCGTTGATCGCCACCGTGTAGGCGTTCTCGGGGGCCACTTGCTTCAGAGCGGCCGGCAACAGCTCCACCACTTTCTTCAACAGGGTGAGCGTCGGCTTGTCGGCGCAGAGCACCACCAATTCGACGTTGGTGTCGCCGCAGAGGAGCAAACCTTTGGCGAGGTGGCCCACGCGCATCACGCCCTTCAGCACGCGGTTTTGGTCGCCTTGTTGGAACGAAAACCTGTCGAATTCAATGCGAAATTTTCACCCGTGGAATCGCCGGGAGTCGGTACACTTACAATTGATTGTCGCGACCGTCTTCCTTCTGGAGTTGTTCCTGTTTGTCTTCGGTTTTGACGGGCGCTTCGGTTTTTATGACTTTCACGTCCGACATGTTATCGGACACTAATTTCAAAGCTCGCTCCGTGTGCGATACGATCCTTTGGATGGCTTGGAGTTCCTCTTCCTTGGGATAGATTTCGGCGTGGCGCGCCATCACGTGCTTGTCGTCGCTGGATTCAGTTCTACGTTGTACGCCGCCCTGGAAGAACTGGAACCCAAAAAAATCGGTGTCGTATTGCGACGAGAATAAAATAAAAATAACACTTACAGGTGGTGGTCCACCGGGGAAAGGTCTACCTCGTTGGTAGCCCATGTTACCGAGTCTGACCATCGCCGAGTATTCTTCCTCGTATCTCCTTTCGTCCTCCCAATATATGTTATTACCGCCGTCCGGGTAGTGGCGTCGAGTCCACAATTCCTCTCTGAATGCCTAAATGTAAATCGATATGAGCTATTTAGAAAGTATACTGGTACCAAAAATATGTGAGAAGACTTTTAAATTATAAACTGTAATCTCCAATAAACTCACCAAAGTTTACCGGTTATTAACCCAGCTGGTGCTTTTTACCTGAAATGGTCCTTATTACTCCAATGTATTTTATTCATTGTACCAAAAGGTATGCAATTTTCAATAACGTTAAAGCGAAAATATATAGGGAAGGGTGAAAAGTTCTCGGCCTGAATAATTTAGAACTGTCTAGAACTATTTAGAACGCTTCAGAATCATTCACAACTCTCTAAAACCATTTATAACGCTTCAGAATTATTCACAACTCTTTAGAACCATTTAGAACGCTTCAGAATTTTGTAGAACGCTCCAGAACCTTTTAGTGATGTTTAGAACCATTTAGAACGCTTCAAAATCATTCAGAACTTAGAGAATCATTTAAAATTATCAGGCCGAGGACTTTGCTCATTGTTGGGTACTTGTTAATCTGAAGATTATTACCGAATTTTGAAGAGGTTTAGGCGTATAGCATTATAAAATCTTCTCTTATATCTTCGGTACTAGTATAATAAAAAAGTTTCGAATTTGAACGAATGTATGAGTATGCAAAAACGATATTTTATCCATCTTCAAAAATACCGAGTGAAAAAACTCGATTAATTTGCGAACAGCCTAGAATATCATTAAATATGGTTGGATTTAACGATAGGAACAACTGTCGCGTTACAATACGCAAAACACTTACGGCTCTTCTCATTTTGTCTTCTTGAATTTTCCTCTGTCTCAGCGACGGCTTAACATCGACCACCAGATCAGGATTCACTTTCTTCTTGTACTGCAACCGATGTCGCCGGCCCTTCATGTGCATCTCTTTGGCGTTGGGATCGTTGAATCTGCATTCGCATATCTTACAATTGAAACTTATCACCTTTCCGTCGTCGCTTTTTATCTCTTCGATGTAGTCTTGTCCTACGGGCTGTATGTCCGGCTCGGGCAAGGATTCCTCCTCGTCGTCCTTCATACAAGCGACTTCACCGTTGCCCGAAGACAATCCCAATCCGCCGGATTGCACGAAGTTAATTTTCGGCGTCGACGAAATGGATTTCTTCGCACCGCCTATAACTTCGGGCTCTTGCGATGGAATCGGTTTGCCCAACTTGGTGTGTAACAGAACGACTTTCTGGTGTTTCGCGCCGCGAATATGGGCCGCGTACGCGTCGTTTCCTAAACAACAACTCGTTATTTTGATGTAATCGAAGAGGATACAAGTAATACCTGTACAAGTAACGTCGCACAACTGACACCTGAGCGAGTTACCGGCTCTGTTTTGATTCGTAACCGCTACAGAGGCGGCCATTTTAGTCGCCGCTTCGCGTTTCTTGTGTTTCTGCCCTTCTAAATGTTCTTTGTAGGTTTGTGGACCGGCGCAACTAAAAAGTTTCAACGATTTATTACACTCTTAACACCGTATATTCCACTTCATTTACCTGATTTTGCATACATCGCAGTAGTGTAGCTGTTGGGGCTTCGGCGGCGCCTTCGTTCTGATATTCTTCCCGCCGATGCCGGTTTTCTTGTAATTCTGCCAACCGCCGGCCTTCTGTTGGTTGCTGTTGTTCTGTTGGGCGACGTACATCGTCGCTGCCGAGTACAGAGCGGCGTCGTATCCTGAATATGTTGTTGTAGAATTAGTTTCTAAGGCAAGATTAATAATGTTGAGGATTGGAATAAATGTCGGTTAGATGCTACCAAGCTACAAATTGCTAAACGATTATAGTGATTATCAGCGTAATGAAATGATGGTAATTAAACGATCGATAAGAAATCTTACGCTGTTTGGCTTGAGTAGTCGGTTGGGCCGCGATGGTGGTCTGAGCGGCGGGTTGAGCATAAGTGGCTTGATATGCTGTCGCGTTCGGTTGGTAAGTCGCTGTGTAAGTGGCCGGTTTGGCAGCGGCTGCAGCCGCTGCTGCGTTCTAAAAATCAATCGGTAAGTTCAAATTAACGAGTATTAGAATTGTAAATAACTTACAGCTACTTGTTGAGCTTGTTGCGTAGTCGCTCGTTGAGTATATGTAGCAGCGTATGTTCCGGGTTTGGCGGCGGCAGCTGCTGCAGCCGCCGCGGCTGCTGTTTGATCGTATCCGCTCGTATATCCAGTGGCTGGATTTTGACCTAGCGCGCAATGCATTTTAACAATTTCGCTGTAATTTTAACCGTTTATAACTCACCGTAGCCATACTCGTAGGCTGGGGTCGGAGCAGTTCCGACTGCTGCGTACGTGCCCGGAGTGGCGGCGGCGGCTTGATAGGCGGTATCGTAGCCGGTGGGTCTTTGAGTGCCGTACGTCGCAGCTGCGGCTGCCGTAGCTGGTGCAGCTACGGCGTATCCCGCTTGGCCTGCTTGGTAAGCGCCAGTGGTCGCGCTGGAATCGCGAAAGGCTTTGTGAATACAACGAATATCGGAAATCGGTACAAAATGGTGGACTGTCTTCGAAAATATTGATCAGGAAATTACGGAATGGGAATCAAGGGCGCCGGTTAATGAACTATTTTGGCTCGTCCAGATCGGGGCTGTTTCGCGGAAGGTTGCGCGTTTAAACGAGCACGTTAATGCGGGGTGTCTCAAAAAAGGTGGTATTACCTGTATTGTGTGCCTCCGTGGGTAAATCCGAAATAATTATTTGTCGCCATTATATCACAATCACATCCATACAAATCCAAACACAACGAAAAACAACTATAGACAAATATTGAATGCGCTTGTGCAATAATCTCGAATTGGAAGGAAAAAGGATATATGTCACTTGTCACAATCAATCCATCAACATTTGGACTACGTCTATGATATCATTCAACCAATTTAGTTGTCTGTGTTGCCTAACGAGTAGTGAAAATACATTTTAAATAAAATAATATTAAAAAAGAGATTTTCGTTATCATTTCTTACAACACGTATTTTTTATTAGATTTAACATTTATTTCCCATCAAATTTTTGTATTGGATAATGTTGACCATACGATTTAATGTGTTCCACCATCGATAATTTTTGTTTCCTAAAATAACATTATTTAAAGCTATAGTTCAGTATAAACAGTAATACTCTACTTACTCGATGTATTCAGGTAAATATTTGTACACCTCGTCGAACATAACTTCCCAGCTGTGCTTATGTTTATCTTCGCCTTTTCTAAACGCCTCCATTATACTCTGTTTGGCTTCTTTTATCCACTCTTTATCCTTGTTATCATCCCACAGGTTCTTTTTGCTTAAGTAGAATCGAAATTTATCCGTAGGATAGTCATTTTTAGACCATTGCTCTACTTCATCCGCCTTTCTGTAGGCCGTACTGTCATCAGACGTTGTATGGTGACCGACTCTTTAAAAAAATCAACTTTACTAATGATATTAAGTCTTTTGTACTTTCCCAATAAACCTACCTATAAGTCATGGCTTCTATTAAAACCGGCTTGTTTTCTTTAACAGCATAATCTCTAGCCATTTTTGTGACATTGTAAACAGCCAAAATATCATTCCCATCCACTCTAATGGTATTTATGCCATACCCAGGACCCCTAGCTGCTATTCCATCACCTCTATACTGCTCATCCACTGGTGTTGATATAGCATAACCGTTGTTTCTACAAAGAAACAACACCGGGCAGTCTAAAGTAGCGGCGAAATTGAACGCAGCGTGAGTATCACCTTCCGAAGCCCCGCCATCGCCGAAATAACACGCCACCACCTTGTTTTTACCTCTCAAAGTATAAGCAGATCCTGCGAAATAAACCACCATGAACTACTCGTTTCTATACAGCGAAGATTCTTACCGACAGCTTGAGGGATTTGGGTGCTCAAGGGACTGGAAATGGTGACGAAATTCAAGCTGGTGCTGCCGTAGTGCACTGGCATTTGCTTCCCTTTACCGGGGTCGTCTTTGTTGCCATAGCACTGGTCTACGAATTGCTGGAAGGTGAAGCCTCTCCACATGAGCACCCCGACTTCCCTGTATTGACCGTAGACTACGTCTGCTGGAGATAGGGCCGCTGCGCTGCCCACTTGGGTGGCTTCTTCGCCGAAATTGGTGAGATAAAATGAAATTCTACCTAAAAAATCGAGAGACTACTCCTATATAATTGAGCAAATTGGTATTTTATACAATTTGAAGTGATTCTTTTACCTTGTCTTTGTGCTTCGTATAGGATTTTATCCATTAGGCCTACACTTAGCATGTCTTTGTACATTTTAATCAGGATTTCGTTGGATAAAGCTGGCTCGTTGGTTGAGTTGATGATGTTACCTTGCCTGTCCATAACTCTATATACAGGTATTGGTGCGTAAGAATGTTTGCCAGTGAATTCCATTTTTTCCGTCCATGTTGTTCTAGCACCGGGGAATAACGGAACCTCATTATTGGAGAAGTATTTCTGGAATAATTGAATTAGTTTCCGTAAAGCAACCGTGGAAACCACTCACTTTTGATTCGATGAAACGGACACGATTTTTCACGGTTTTTAAGAGTTTTAGAAAGTTTCCGTTCATGTTTCGTGTGATACTTACTTTTATTTCTTAACATTGATACAGCTTAGATAAGACAGTCACAATTGAACGGCCTTGACTTATTCACACTTTATCAAAAATGGATTGTTGTTGTTATAAAGTTTATTTCGTATTTGTTAAATTACCTAATTGCAAGAGCATTTTTTGACATTGTTATCCAAGGATTATAATAGATAAGCACATTGTTAAATTCTAGTGAAAACATTTTGCAGTACAAAACGTACAAATCTGTTTAAATTTCTTAAATAACAACAGGATTTAGAGTATTGAAATATTATATTATTATGTGATTAATAAAATGTTTTGATATTACTAGAAAAAGTTTCCTTATAATAAAGTATATTTTTCTTAATATCCTTAAACAAAATTAAAACGAAATAAAATAGTAGTTTTTAAGTAATCTGTAATTATTTAATAATAATTATCTGTAATAATTTAAAAATTCAAAAATGTCAAAATTCGAAATATTTGTTCGTTTGTAGAAATCTAGCTGTCAATTGAGAGTGTTCCGAGTGCAAGTATGTCAAGTAATTGTCATTTACGTCAACTGTCAAAACAATTCCGTTTCACAATTTTGGTAACAAAACAACATTCAATTTTTGTTTTTGTGTGTTTTTTAGAACGATTTATTTAAGTGAATAGATATTTTTAGATTAAATTCAAGATTATTCCGTCCCTTTAATCAAAGAGGTAAGAATCTCGTTAACGTAACGTAATTATTAGATTTGAAATCAACCATGCGTTTTATTTACAAAATTTTGGTAAGATTTTCCGAATTATGCAAGGTTTTTTTAATTACACACCTTAAGTAAAAGCATACTTATAAAACCAATTACTCATTAAACTTTTCCCGGGTGGTTGTTATTAGCTTATCTATTATTTTTGCGGCTGTTCTCTAATGATAAGATTAGATACAACATATTTTTTAGATTTTAATTATTGTATTGATGCTTTGCTATAAGGAAACATTGAATTTCATTTCGTATTTTTGTACTTCCCAGGAAAGAAGACGCCCAAAAGTTTATTTACGATAATCTTTTGAATTAGATTGTGAAAAGTGAAAAGTATGTCTGCTGCAGTAACTAGCAACGAAGGAGTCCTCCAACAACTAAATGAACTCTTCGGAACTGCATTGAACATAGACGTTATCAAATCTGTAGCAGCCTCGTGCAGATACGACAGTAAGTAAATCACCTTAAAACCGATCAAAGTTCTATTCTTATAATTTCTAGTCGACGAATGTTCAAATAGATTAATAGAATTAACCAGTAGAAAGGAGAAAATACAACAAAATGGACCATTTTCTAGCACCAGTACCAAAAAAACCAAAAAGCAAACCGACATCGAAGCAGCTATTAATCAAATCAACAAAAACTACAAAGTATTGGTTATATTACGGGGATTACCAGGATCTGGTAAGAGCACCTTAGCCTCGATCATTCTACAAAACACCATCGGCTACGATTCCAACCACGGGTTGCACATATTTAGCACAGACGATTATTTCTGTCAAAACCCCAGGAGGATATTCATGTACGATTCGCGCAAAATCGAGGAAGCCCACAACTGGAACCAACGAAGGGCCTTCAGTTCAATGAGTAAAGGCTTCAGCCCGGTTATCATAGACAACACCAACACTCAGATGTGGGAAATGAAGCCCTATGCAAACATGGCCACCGATTTCGGTTATATCCTTTGCATACTCGAACCGGACACCCACTGGTGCTTCAACGACAGGGAATTGAGCAAGAGAAACACCCACAACGTGCCCAAAGATAAAATCCGCACCATGTCCGAGCGCTACGAGAAGAACATCACCGCCAGGAAACTCCTGAGCGCTTACAATCTGGATTATAAACTACAAAAGCCGCCTCAATTGAGATTATATCCCCCGCCTGATAACGCGCACGCGTTCAAAAAACCCTCAATCAACGCACAAATCAACAACGAAGCGCACGCTCGCAAGACTTTCATCAAATCCACCAGCACTTCGATGTTGAGCGATAAGCTTGCGATAGACAATATCAATCTGATGGATTTCAACGACGATTCGCAGTCGATTAAATCGCAGCCGTTCGGCGCGAGCAATTCGTTTTCATCGCAAAATTCCGTCGATAAAATCCTCATGCACGATAATAACTGCGAATCGAACGTGTTGAAACCGATCGCTGTCGGTGCGAGCAACAGCAGCGCGGATTTGTACGAAGACGAGGATTTGTATAAAAAAGTCGAGCAAGCTTGGGGTATCAAAGAGACTTCTCTGAAAGCTTGGACGACGTTTAATAATCCCTACGAGATGCAGAATTGCACTGAAATGACGAGTGTTAAGAAAGCTACGAACGAGAGCGGTACGTTAACAGAAACAGATTATTTCAATTTGGGCGCCAGCGAAGTCTCCTCGGGGTTCTACAACGGATCGAAAGTATTGGAATCCTTTAATCGCGATATAAATTACAGTACACCTCTTAATCGTAAACCCAACGTCCTACGTAAGTTAACGTTAGACAAGGGCTGCATGACGGACGACGTTTACGAAGGTTTTGATGATCACATGACCGAACTGAAGAGTCTGTTCCCCAAAATCCCCTACGATCATCTCTCTTACTGGTACAAGAAGTGCAAAGGGGATTTGGAATGGACGATCGAATTCCTATTGGAAAGTAACGACGAAGATGTTGGTTTCATCGACTCGGATAGCGAGAAAAACGATGCGAAATCCGCCGCGAACGAAGGATCGGATAGCGAGAAGGTCGTCAAAAAGAAAATGAAGAAATCGAAAACTCCGCCGGCCGAGGAAAAAGAGGAAATCAAGAAGTTGATCGAAAGCAAAATCGACATAGGCAGCGAGTACTATTCGAAGCATTTGCTGAAGATCAAAAACTGCAAATTCGGTTCGATGGAAGCCCAATCGGCCGTCGAAGAGGCTCAACCCGAAGCCGAATGGAAGAGCGAGTTTGAGAAAAACGACGAAGTAATTTCGCTCGATTCGGACATCGATTTCGACGACGAAACCGCCAACGACGACGTAGTAGAATTGAATTTGGGCGATTTCTTCGTCTCGCAATTGGAAAGCAAATTCGCCAATCCGGACATACCGTGCCCGAAGGGCTTCCAACCGGTCGTACTCATGCCGGTGGCCCTGGCCAAACAACTGTACAGTTTCTACATAGAAAGCGTCTACCAGCAAATGGAGAACCAAAACAACGTGCTGGAAGCGTTCCTGAAAGAGGACGAAGAATTCGCCTGGAGCTTACAGAGCAAAGAAATCATCGGGGAACCGCAACCCGAACCCAAACCGGACCGCAACCCCGTCAGCTTGAAAGAAATCCAAGACGATCAGCTGGCCGCCAAGAAGGCCTACGAGAAGGAGATGAGAAAATGGAAGAACGTCAATCCGGATACGTTGGCTGCGAAGCTGACCAAACAGAAATTGTTCCAGATATTCCCCAAGATACCGCAGGATACGCTCGTAGAAGTACTGCAAGCGCACGACAACAAATACGTGGATACTGTGGAAACTCTGCTGGCTTCGACCAAAATGGAAGGCATGGAGGTGTCTAGTAACGTGGAAAACATGAAAGAACCGCCGATCACCAGCGATGTTTTGGACGAGATGAAGGAAGCCCAAGTCGATAATTCTTGTCGAGTAAGTAACTTAATAATATCATCACTATTCGTTCTTTTCAAGATCATTGCTGTTCTCTCTATACTCCGCTTTTTGGATCCAAATGATGGATCCGTATTAATGGTCTTCTTCTATTCCTTCTACCAGCCTTTTTGTCTATCATTCACGCCTTGTACTGTCCAGTTCCTTGCAACTTTGCTTTTCTTTCTACCACCTCTGTGATTCCAGTTGTAAGGTCCCCAGGCCGCTGCTTTAAAAGAGAGTTTTAGTAAGTTAATGGCGATTTATTTTAAGGAATTTGAGGAACGTCGGGAGCCGACGTACTACCGAGAGCAGGCCAACAAGTACCTGCACAAACGGGAGAACATGCGGCAGAAGGCGATGCAGTACCACCAACGCGGCATGACGGAGGTGGCGCAATTTTACTCGGAACTGGCCAGCATGCAGACGAGTTACTACGATAGAGCGAACAATTTGGCAGCCGTGGCGTTTTTGGACGAACATTCGAAGAGATTGCAGAATTTCAATACGTTGGACTTGCACTTTTTGTACGTGAAAGAGGCCGTGCCGGCGTTGGACGTGTTCTTGGACAGGAACATCAATTTGCTGAAGCAGAGCTCGTTGAAGTCCAGCGAGCATTTGCAGATTATAACGGGTAGAGGTAATCGGAGCAGAGAGGGTAAATCGAAAATTAAGCCGGCTGTTATAGCTCGATTGACTCAGAGGAATATAAAGTAAGTTTCTTTAGTTAGCATCTTAAATTATAATTGTGTTATTACTTTGGTTTTGTTCCAGATACGTTGTTTTGAATCCGGGCCTATTGAAAGTAAAAGTTACCAAAAAATCCTTGGTGACGAGCGAAATTGCTATGTCCTAACGCTTGCGTAGGTCGTTTGTATCACGTTGAATCGATTTTTTTTCTATTTTATTTTAACTGAATATCGTTTATTCAATTTTTTTTATTTTAAATTTATGACGATTTTTATTTAGTATTTTTATTCGGGGATTTCATAAGGATTTTCTATAATTCACAAAACTGGTTATCAAAAGGTTTTGCAATTCTAGCACGTTTTTATTTTTGAACAAAGCGAAAGAAAGACCGGTTGAAACAAGTACAATAAAGTTCATATTTTTGATATTTGGATAGATGTCTAATTTTTCATTAGTGTCTTATTCGGTGTAAGGAAAATTTCGAACTGTGTTTGATTTTCTTTAGAGCTAAATAAGATATTTAATGAAACTTTAAATCCACAATCGATATATGTTCATGAAACATTTCGCACGAATTTGAGGGCTTATTCAATATTTCTACGACAGTGGTTTATTGACCAAAATGTTGATGTCTTCGTAAATATGCCGGTTGTGGATAATTATTTTTTTATTTTATTTATACGTCCCATTACACATTCTACATGTTGACATACAGAGCGTTCCACTCACATTTTATACAATCGTTATTTCTGGAACTAATTGTATTTCGAAACTATTAGATTTATCCCAACAGAAATTCTAACCGAATTAGTTGGCGTAAATCTTTAATAGGAAATTTAATCTTTTTTTATTGGTGTCTAAAAAAGTACAATTATTATTAAGTTACCGTAATTATTAACGTAGTAATTAAGATTAACCATTCGTAGTTTGAACCATTTTCTCATTACGTTTTTATTATGCCATATTTTATATCTGTTGTATATGTTAAGTGTTACATTTGTATAATAATTGGTATAAGAAGTTTAAATAAATTATGGGGAATTAGATTTTAACGCGTTTTGATAGTATGCTGAAAAGTTTACTAAATAATTGTTAACATGAAGAGATTTTTTTGTGAAATTGCAACAGAAAAATGAAACTAAATTAGTAACAAATTTGGCAACATCTACAATAAAAGAAGACAGCTATACACAATTGGTTTTTATCTGACAAATTACCAATAAAGAAAATATATTTTTTTTCAATAAACTTTTTTTTGATTTAATTCCAGCTTAAAGGCGGGACTAGTAGTACTTATGAACCTACGTAACATGCATCTTTCGACTCGCTTAAAACATTAGAATTGATTTGTTTTCTATCGGCTATTATTTGTTAGAACGAGACGGTTTGTAAGGTACAAAGTGATGATCTGTGTCGCCCCAATTCCTATGGACTTCGATGTTACAAGAGTTACAATACAAATCCCCGTCGCAATCTAAACACCTAAACTTCGCGTCGTTATTGCAAAGAACGCACCAAGGTAATTCTTCGCTTTCTTCTTGCGAAGATTTCGAATCGGTTTTTGAAAAACCAGCAGGTAATCGTTCATCTAAAGCTACCTCATCCATAATCTAAAAATAAATTCAATTAACATGGTAAATAATTCGATAAACTTGTTAGGTACTTTTTTAGTTATGTTATCGATTTCCTCTTCCGAGCCACTCGAGTCGTGTAAATTTTTGATAAACTGTCCTTCGTTAGGCCGAATGCCTTGCTCCCGTAATGCAGCCACCCTAGCTTCGATGCCTTCCAAATTTTGAGCGTGACGTAACTCGATGTCCTTTTCAGTCATGAACTGTTCCAGCAATGTGTCCACTTTTTCCTGATCCGTCCTTGTGTCCTTCACGAATAACTTAAAATAAAAACCAAGCATAAGTTATTAGCATTTTGAAAGTTAATTGATTGCACGAAACTCAAAAGTAAATACATTTTGACACTAAAAATCTCGTTGAAAACAATTAAATTATACAGCGAATTTATATTTTAATATGTTTCATACATTAATTTAAATGAAAAACATGAATTAAGCGGCGTTATGTCAATATTCGTATTCGTATTTACATTCGCGTTTCCTCTTTGTCTAAAACATTATAAAAAATGAAGATTGATCTGAAATTTCGGGTTTCGGTGCTCACCGATTTGTCCTGGCTAGCGCTGGGAGCTTCAACGTAATTATTTTCGCCTTTCAGATTCCTCAATCTTTCCATAATTTCGCTATCGGTAGGAGGGGGGCCTTTTCCATCGTCTTTAAGTTTTTCTAATCGTTCCAGTAATTTTTGATCGGTAGGCTCAAGTCCATGACGGAGTTTCTCAATATTGGGGTCTGTTTTGTACATTGTTATAGGAGGCACTGAAGGGTTCTCCAGCGCCTCCAATCTCCTATGAACTCAATTTGTTAATAAGTATACTAACCAGTAACCGAAAACATTACTTGATGAAAACATCCGGAGGCGAAATATTCTCCACCACACCCGACGTCAGTTTCAAAAAGCACTTTCTGCACACGTTCAATTCCTCGCTATTCTTCGAGGGGATCTTGCACTTCTGCTTCAAACATTTACCACAAAAAGAAAGGCCGCAACTGGGGCAGCCCATCTAAACCAATTAAATCATTAGTAAAACGTTAGAGCCCATCGTTGTACTTACTTCTTTGTGGAAAAAATTGTATTTAGTACCGCATTGATTGCAAGACATTTGTTATTACTCAATGCAATCGCTAATTTCGTTCAAATACTGGAATTTTTTATTTTTTTACAAATTATAATTAACCTGCAAATGTCTGTACGTCATATGTCCAATTGTCAATGTCAAAAAGGTTTGTTCGTTTGCGTTCTAGAACGTAATAAAACGAAACGTCACTAGTATACGTCACTGTCGTTTCCTGTGAGAATTACAGATGTCGTTAAAAACCGTGTCACATGTCACCTATTTTACCAACAAGTAAGTGTCGTCCCCGGGGTTTGCTTTCTTTCTCTATGGGATTAAGTTGGAATTAGTGACAATACAATACGGTGTGAATGAGTTACGTTCGCGACTTTAAATAGAGGTAAAGTAATTATTGCTCGTTGCTTTGATTGATAGAACTCGAATCGAAAGTGCGGTTATCCCTCGAAACCCATATCGTGACGTTGACAAGCATAACGTGCGGCTAAATTTTTTGCTTACCTTACAAGGTGTTTTAACGAATATGATACGATTGTCCGGTATTTTCTGCCGTAAGAACGGTTAGGATAGGACACTTACGTTTTATTACCGATAATTGAATGTAATTCATTAACGGAAAGGTCACCGGGAGAGTTGGGATAACCTATTAGTGGAATTTATATTTTCGATCAATTGGTCCAATTACATCCAATTAAATCGTAAACGTGCTAAATCAGACAGGTCTTTTAATTATCACGGCTATTTCGATCTACTTAAGTGGTTTGTTTTAATTTAATACATAATACATATTGGAAATTTTTTATACCTATTCTTGAATACTTAATTCGGTTAAACATGTTGCTAAATCTAGCAAATATATTTGTATTGTAATGTTCTGTTGCACAAAGGTAAATGGTATTTCACAAATATGTGTTTATTAAATTATGTATCTGATTTATTTCGAAATGTATTTAATTTGTATTCATTGATGTGTAGGAATCAATTAAGGAATGTATGAGCAATTAAAATAACGAAATAATCAATGTTATGTAGGAGGACAAATTGATATATAAATGTACATTAAGTGTTACTAATTTTATTATGATTGAACACATATTTCTAATAAGATTCTAAAATTTTCAAGCACATCTCTTGAGAATTCACATTTTGTTAAGTATAAGTTATTGTTCTCCTAATCTAAAATTTTTGTTATTTTCTAAAATTATTTTTAGTTTGAATGTTTCTAATATGTTCGCTTTAATCGACATTTTTTCTTACTCGTTAATATTTGGAGGCGAAACAGTTTAATTAACGGAGCAAATATAGCAATAAATTTATCGAGTATCAATTTTGTATTCTTATCAGCACGAAATGTGTAGTTAGCTGAATTGCTTTTGAACAATATTCTTGCTCTACACCTTAATCGAACGATAAACAATTTCCTTCATTAATCTTTATCGTTTTATCTGAAACAAATACTTATTGGTAAATTATTACAAAAATGTCGATACAAACATATTACAACAGCCTATACTATTACAAAAATGGTTGTATTTTTTTTTGTTTGTACAAATTTTTAATGCCCAAGATAAGTGCTAATTGGAGATTGTACTGTTTTCATTAAAATATTTTGTGTATCATTTATACAGGTAGATGCAAAATTGTTTGCAATATAGGCTATGGGCGCAACAAAGAGAACTTCCATTAGTCTCTTGCAAAGAGACCGTTATATTAATAATCTCTCTTTGTTCAACTCATATAATTGACCATATTGTTTACAAATTTGCACTTATCGAAGGAATCATTGCGCTGTATAACTTTTCATACAGGGTCATTTAAACACACTTAAATTTCTATTAATATAAAGAACTATTTCTATTTGCAGATTAACCAAACATGTCCCATCACGTCCTCTCCGTGTGCATTTTTTGCTTCATATGCGCCACGCACACGCCGTGCGCCTCGCACGCCGCCATCAAACACCCTGTACACAACAAGGACTTCAGCAATCCCGTGAAATTGGCCTACGTGGATAAATTCCCCAGGGACGTGTCCAATAGTCAGCGCAATAACGACGAAGGTTTCAGGGAGAAGAGGACGAAAAGGAGCGACGAAGCGAGCGAAGTCGCCCCGAACGACAGCGAAAGCGATTCCGATCGCTTGAAGAAGATATTCTCAAAGTACGGGAACGGGGAGGTTATGACTCAGGAGGGGTTCAAGAGGTTCCTGGACGATTTGAGCGCGCCGGAGCGTCGAGACGCCAAGGAGAACGTGAGTGGTTTCTCGTCGATTAAGAGAAGAGTATTCTAATTTCCGGTGTTGTTTTTGCAGTGTACTGAGACAGATGTGATACCATCTTCGTTAGGATTAGGCGATAGCGAGGGAATTAACGAGACTTCCTTGTACAATGTATGCCCTTTTATACTGTATAATTTAGTAAACAAAGACTGCACCGCGCATGATGGGGATCATGCCCATGGTGATGAAGAAAATTCTTCGTTGGTGAATAATGGCTTCGTTTGGCTGTGTTCGATACTCGCTATATTACTTATAAGCGCGTGCGGCGTACTCTCATTAGCTATTATACCAGTGATGCAAAAAAGGTAATAGGTTTATTGATAATAGCCCGTATTCAGCGCCTCTGTTTAACTGTAGAGTAACTCCAAAGTCGCGTCTTTAACTTGACATATTTACATTATTGTTATGAAGTAACTAAGGAGATTCTTTCAATTGACAGATTTACATTGTTGTTAAGGAGTAACTAGGGACTGGAGAGTCATTCTAAAGTTAAACAGAGGCGCTGAATACGGGCCAATGTATTTCCACAACTAAGAAATGTTCATCGATTCGTTCCAGATTCTACAAACCCCTTATCCAGTTCCTGGTGGCCTTGGCGGTGGGGACGCTCGCCGGCGACGCTTTCCTCCACCTGTTGCCGCACTCGATGAGCACCACTCACCATCATTCGCATTCCCACCGGTCGCACGAGGAGGACACCCACACGCACGACGAAAACATCCAGAAGGGATGCGTCGCCATGTTGGGCCTGACGTTCTTCTTCGCCATGGAAAAGGTGATTTCGATCACGGCCAAATGGCGGAAGGGCAAACAGAAGCACCAGCACTCCCACGTGACCGTCATCAACGAGAGGCGGGACAGCGGCGGCCCCAAAAACGAGACCCAATGCATGGACAAATACAATTCCTATCCCTACTGCTATAAAGATATCATGGATAATCCTCGTACGTGCTAAGCGAATTGTCGCGCTTGCGAATTGACGTGTTAAAATGAATTTGTTGTAGGCATAACGTTCCTCGAATCCGACAGAACGGCGACGACGGTGTTAGATCATTGTTCGAATTCCGGTTCGAACAAGCTGTCGAAATCTTCGCTGGAGGTGAACAATCAAAACGCCGATTGCCCGTCGGATTTGAAAGATTGTACCGAGGCCAATAAGATGCTGACGCCTGAGCATAAAGCCAACGATGATTACACGGTGATTGTGAGAGAGCACAAGAGCGATCATCACGGGCACTCGCACAAGCACGGGCACGTTCACGCCGCCCCCAAGAATCTCTCCTCCGTGGCTTGGATGGTTATTATGGGCGATGGGTGAGTACTGTTGATATAAGTTTTTCTTTCTCAACGTTAATAATACTAATAATAATTGTTTGTTTTCAGTTTGCACAATTTCACCGATGGTATGGCGATCGGGGCGGCGTTTTCGGGCAGTTTGGCCGGAGGTTTTTCTACGACAGTGGCGGTATTTTGCCACGAACTTCCGCACGAACTCGGAGATTTCGCGATGCTTTTGAAAGCCGGCATGACCATCAAGCAAGCGTTGTTCTACAACATTCTATCGAGCATACTGTGCGTCATTGGGAACGTGTTCGGCCTCGTACTAGGTAGGATATTTCGCATAACCGCCGTTAAATTTCTCTTAAGGTGCTGTTGGTTTTTAGGTAATACGGAATACGCGAGCTCTTGGGTGTTTGCGGCAGCTGCGGGCATGTTCATATACATCGCCTTGGTGGATATGATACCGGAATTGAGTTCTGCGCACGAAGACGAAGGCAACGTGGGCATGTGCTTGCTGCATTTGGGCGGTTTGTTAAACGGGCTCGGCATCATGGCTTTGATAGCGGTGTATGAGCACGATTTAATGAACGTTTTTAGCGAGGCTAAATAGAGTTATAGTTTGAACGAACGTTGGAAGACGCTTGAAAAGTGTACGAAGGGACGAAGAAATTTATTAGTATACAGGGTGTCTAATTACTTACAAGGCGGCTAATAATCATAGTAGCGCGTTGTTTGTTCGCATAGTTGTGAATATTTTGAATAATTTGTTGAAAGCAACGCACAGTATTGGATTTGTGTACTTTTAATTTTTAACTACTTGCGTTTTTTTTGACGTGAAGGGCCTACTGCTTAATTATCAAAATTCGCCACTTATAATAAGTATCATTTTGTGAAAAATTTAAAAATTACTCGCAGTTTATCGACAACCTTCTGTTAAATGTAATGATACATCATAAGGGTGAAAACTTGAAAATGTATCATTAAAATGCAATAAGTTATTGGTACGATTATTAAAGTTCATACGTTTTAAAATGACATTGACATCACGTTACGAGCCAGCCTTTTGCAACGTTGCCGGGTTGTAATGGAAATCCTTTATATGGGATGAATTAAAAAAGTCGGGAGGAGTTACGAATTCTCGAGTGTTAATTTAACTGAATATTATCATACGCTCGCACGAAAATTATCTAAAACGGACGAAGTAAAGCACAAAAACTACTCGTAAGCGTGAAAAAAAAGAACAGGCAAAAATCGCTGGGAATCATTTGGAACTGTCCAGAATTATTTAGAACTGTCTAGAATCATTTAGAACGCTACAGAACCATTTAGAACTGTCTAGCATCATTTAGAATGCTCTAGAATCATTTGGAACTGTCTAGAATCATTTAGAATGTTCCAGAGTCATTAAGAACTGTGTAGAATTATTTGGAACTGTCCAGAATCATTTAGAATTATGTAGAACGCTCTAAACAACAAATTGTATGGCAACAACGCCTCGGCATTTCAACCGTGCTAGGTAAAATTCCCCTAGTCAAATGGCAGGATTACTATTGGCACTAGGGACATTTCGAAATGCGTGGGATTACTAAAAATGACGTCATTGACATTTTAAAACGTACGAACTTTACCTACTTTTGTATTTACTTGTATTTATTTATTAATCGTTGCATTGACATAGCATTTAAAAAGGAATGCTTCGATTCTTTGTCACATACATGTTTACTAAACAATAGTATATGATGCATTGTTAGATGGAATTGCCGTTAATTGACATGTTTCAACTTTATGAAGATTTATTTATTTTAATTTATATACGATAGGGTGGATTAACACATAAATTTATCAAAAAAGATGATTTTGGGCTATCTGTAGGTGAAATTACAGAACTTTAGGCTGTTTGAAATGGAACATAGGATGTTTGTTTACGAAAAATTTCTATTTTTTTTACTTCGCGACCAAATCGATTCGTAAAATTTCCAAAAAGATTTTTTAGTTTGTTGGAACGATTATTCATTTGTAACATTTTGAAATAAATGTTTTTGTATACGTTTGGCTCACTAAATATCGCAGGGGCTCTGTCCCTTAACCCCTTCAATAAGAACGAAGAAATGTAGTGTTAAAAGATCCAATCTGTGAGTGAATCAGTCATGGGAAGTGTCGTTTTCTGTATCAGATAATCAAAAAGTCGGTTAATTTTCGTAACAAATATTCAAAATAAAATGACAACGTTTAAAAATATCTACAAAACGATCAATTGTTGTATTCCTGTTGTAAGTTTTTCCACTTCTCTACCAACTTCGATACTCCCTTCTTCTTCATCACTAGACCCGGCGCCAATTTCACCTGAAATACATATTTATAGTTATCGCAATATTTATACACTTAAAAAGTTTTGTTACCTTCGTTTTCTTTTTTTTCTTCACCGAGTCCACCTTAGCGTCCGCACAAATCTCGGAACTCTGTTCTTCGTTAACGGAGAGTCCGGAAGACGATGGAGGCGAACTGATAGCGGCGATATCTGAATAAAACGAGTCCAAAGCGGAATTCAAAGAATCTTTAACCTCAACATTTTGCTAAAAAAAATAAACGAATTTTTACCGTTTATGTACATTCCGATTTTTGTACTTACAAATGAGTTTACTTCGTGTTTGTCGACGCCAGGCGGCGGAGGCTGGGCGGCTCCTTCGAGCCGGGTGCCCGACTCCTCGGGAAGAATTCCCCCTAAAACGCATTAACAGTAATCTAAGTGTAACTAGTTCATCGAATAAAAAAATACCGTTGTTTTCAGCGGAGCTAATGACAGGAGGAGGCGGCGGAGTGGGGCTGCGTATGTTCGGAGGCAGCGGGGGCGACAGGGGATTGTTCGAATCGTTTTCCACGTGAGGGGGAGTCGTGGAAATGTCCATGGCGTCGTCGCAGGCGCCGTGGTCCGGCTGGGGGTACTCCCATTGGCTCTCGCCCGTGCTCAGGTTTTGGTAGAAATACCTCTTAAGCGGCCTGCCAAATATCAATTTCTTTAACAAATTCGTGTTAGTTTATGTAGCGTACTTGTCCCATTGGAGAGCCCAGCCCGCCGGTGTCGCTTCCTTCTCTAATTTGATCAGTTGCGAACAGGTTTCCTTCAGCCATTTGTGAAGGTATGATAGCTTGAGTGCTCCGTCGTTCATTGCAGAAAATAAAGTCTACGAGTCAATAAAAAAATGCAATTTTAGTTTTTAATTATACGGAATAGTGTACCTCAGCTTGTATCACCATCGATTGAACCGGAGAAATGTCTGGCCTTCCTTCATTTAAAAACGTTAATTTCTCACGCAGCGTGAAATACATTTCATTCACCGGCTCCAAATCATTGGAATCATCTTCATTACTCTTCGCAGTAGAATCCACGGGATTCAACGTTTCGGATTTCACAAACGTTATGGCCTTGTACGCCTCCTTCGTGTCGCCAACTTTGCTTATCTCCCTGGTATCGAAACCCAGGCCTTTTCTTCGTTCTTCTTCGTTGTCCGAATCGCCGTTGCGCTTCTTCGTGTTCACTAACGTCACCCCGATTCGTTTCTTCCTTTGGAAGGCTTTGTTGTCGAAGTTATTGCTTTCGGTCGTAGGGCTATTGGGTTCTTGGGGCGTACTGAAATCGTTTATATCGATCGGTTTGACGATGGGGAATAGAGTGCTATGGGAGACTTGAGGTGTTTCTTCGATGGTTGTTTCGGTTTCTTCTTCGCTATCACTGTAACCGGCTACTAATGATAGACCGGGTTTCGGGTCTTGGTCTTCGGGAACGTCTCCGCTGATTGCTTCTGAAGTCTTGGTTTGTCTTTTTGCGATCTCTAGTGTGTTTGTATTATCTTCTATAACCAATTTTGGGGCCTAAAAAACCGGTAATTGGAATATTTGGATGGGATTGTCAACGTGAACCTCAGAAGTTGCGAAATCTCTACTAAGTTTTAGGAGATCTCTAGCAACTGTATCATCACAGGTTCTTTTAAAATGTATCGTAATCAGATTGAAAACTTTTGGGTCATTTTTATGTATAAATTAATATAAATCAGTGCTGATTTATCATCATATCAATGTGTTTAATTGACTGGATTAGGAATGAAAATTTCCTTACTAATTTGGGTTTCTTTTCTTCCTCTTCACTAGATTCGGAGTCCGAGCCATAGGATGATATTAGTGTAATTTTTCTAGAAATAAATAAAAATTAGCTAAGTAAATTAACTTAACTTAATGTACTTACTCATCTTCTGAATCGCTATTTTTCTTAAACGTCCTCTTTTTACTTGGCTCTTTCTTGATTCGTTGCAAACTAGCTTTACTATTAGAATTATCGCTAATAGAGTAGATTTTTATATCTTTCGGTATCTCCTTCGAGCTGCTAACTCCTGGAAATAGTGGTTCGACTTTCGTTGGAATGTGTTGATTTTTATTCAAAACCGGAGGCTTCCCGCTAGCTTTCTTATACGATTCAGGGGGATCCCACGTAACTTTGTCTGTTTTCTTATTCCAATAATAAACGTAACCTGTTAATTCGTCATAACATTGATTCCATTCTAAAAATTAGGATTAGAGTGGGTAGGATTTGTAAGAGTACAAAAATATATCACAATAATGAGTCAATTAATTTATCTATTACAATTTCTGATTAGTTATTTTTTATAAAAATCATTAAAAGTAAGTTAATATGTGTATTATTTTAGGTACAGAAAAATTTGTTTACCTTCTTGAGGCTGTTTCGGTTTGGAAGATGGAACTATTTCATTAATTTCGTTTAAAAAATCGTTGACTTTATCATCCATAATCTCCTCGAAGTAATTGTAAATTATTTTTCGATAAATAATGCAATTAACACTTAAGAAAACTTTTGTTAATCTACATAGTATTTGTTTATAAAAATTATTTCGAAAAAGTATCAATTCGTCTTCTTGTTTGACTGACGACCTGTCCTTTTTCGAGACTTTTACTATTAGTTTATTCAGCACGTGTATAAAAATAACAGTTGTAAAATAACTTTTGTGACAACAGCTCTAGTTTTGACACTGACATATGCCAAATGAATTCAATTATTCATTGTGTTGTGTGGTTGCGTGAGGGATTTTACAATAAACTAATATGGCGACACAATCAACTGCACTGTTGGAACGTCTCGATAAACAGGGCTTTCCGAAATCGAAAAGAAAATTACAGAAACATCTTCGCAGTGCAGGTTTGGCCTATATTTCACGCACAGGAAAATTAATACCAGCGAAAAGGGTTGCAGGTACGTACAGTGTTTTTTTACATGTGTTAAGGCCTTTTATTTTGACGTATTAATTGATAGAGAATTGCGATATGAATCACGATATTGCGCCGTTTGCGATTGATTAGGAATCGTTGGAATTACTTTGTTTTAATCCGTTTATATCGAGTGTTTGTATAAATAAATTCGATTGTTTATTAGGAATATTTTTCGGCACCTATTCGACCTTCTGTATCTAGGTCATGTAATTTACTCAAAGGAACTGATGGCCTTGTCGCTAGGGCACGTGTAATAATTTTTATAACAGGTTCGTAATTGCTAAATTATGGAAATCACGCGCTCAGTTTTTTTACATTTGTTGCGTTTTACTGAAAATCGCGCATAGATACACATGTTTAATTTATTTGTACTTGTACAGTAAAAAGGCATATAAAATACAACAAATTTAAAATGTTCCAGTACACGCCTAAATGCGTTCATCTTTGTTGGGTTTTTTCGGAATCGCCAAGGTCAGAAAACCGTTTGTAACGTTTCTAATTGAAATTTAAATACCCTTTTTTTCTGTTATTAAATTTAATGTTTGCGATGTAAATTATTAGTATGTCTATAAGTTTCGTTTGTAATTACGTATTCATCTATGACAACAACTTGCCATTGGCCCAATTTTATCGAAACAGGCCTGTTTCGTCGTTAGAAGGTCATCATAGATATAATATTCGAATTGCATCTATTTATTCACTTTTAACACTTTTACTTATAATAATGTATCTAAAAAGTTTATATTTTATTCCTAGTTATGATCGTAAACTATTCAAATTTTATCATGTTATCTTATATCGTCTTATCAATTTATAAATGGATCAATTCATATCAATTATTCGTATTCTGTAATCTATAGAACTAAAGAGGTCTTTATTATATTCTTGATAGTATACACATTAGTGAGAGAGCCTTCTAGATTTTATAACCCTTGTTAGACTCTTGTTAGACTCTACTCTTATTTGACCCAGTTCTTATTAGACTTTATTACTCTTATTAGACTCTGCTCTTATTTGACTCTGTACTTATTAGACTCTAGTATTGTGTAGTCTTCTCTTATAGACTCTTCTGAGGAATTAAAGCTCTTGTAAAATACTTGTAACCCTTGTAAGTTGCCCTATAAAGCTGATTTGACTTGTTAATCATTCCAGACGAGCTGTGCCAATGTCCACACAAATGTGATTCCAACGTGCCTTCGGAGGCGCGCCAGCGCCTCTTCACCCACTTCTACGGCCTCGGCGACGCCGATCTCCAGAACAAATTCCTGCGACAACACATGGACCTGCGGGCCAGACTGAACGTGCCGGAGACGTCGTCGAACACGGGCCGGCCGCCGCGCCGCATCACCTGCAAATATTTGGTGCCCCTGTTGCCCTCCGCCGAGACCGTCGAGGTTTGCCAGAAGGCGTTCGTCAGCGCCTTCGTCATCACCACGAAGCGGGTGCGCCTGCAAAGGGAGAAGCTGATCGCCAGTCTCGGCTTGAACAGCTACAGCAGCCATAATAGGTTAGTCCCTGTACATTAAATAAATAAAAACCTACCCTGTACATTAAATGTACTGTCGAAGTCTCGGCCTACTACACACAGGCAGTTAAATAACCAAGGTATCACTCGCTTAAATACGAGTCATAAATTTCCTTAAATACGAGTCAACCTGTAGTATATTTCAATTTAATTTAAAATAATTTTTCATTTAAGATAAAAAAACGCCTCGTATATCAATTTTTCCGATTTCCTTAATGAAAAAGCACCCTGTACATCAAATTAAATGTCAACGTATCCCGTAGTAACGGAAGTGACAACTTTGACAGTTCGAAGTTTGTTCGTCGCCGCTGTCATTAGTGTAGGTTTTTTAAAAAGTATTTTAAAATTTTTTAATGTAAATTTTTCGATCGTTTCTCGATATTCGGTAAGTACAAATGATCAAGAAACGAAACATTGCCTTTCGTACCGCAGTATTGGACACTGACGTGATAAAAGGTACCAAGAGATGCGTTCGCTGAGTGAGAACGAAAAATCACAAAACAATACGTCAACTTGGATAATTTCCAAAATGGCGGTCGATTTTCATTTCCAAATCGCGATTGCGAGCTGGAACGAATTTACCCGGGGAAAATGACGGTCATTTTCGTAATCAGCGGATCCGTTTCTATCTTACCACATACCTCTCTGGCCCCAAATGATTCAAAAAGAATAAAACTCTCTCATCAATAGTATGTCGCTTCGAGCTAAAGCCTACTAAAGTATACATCTTGCTCCATTTCCGATTGCAACATGGTCATTTCTATGAGTGGAACAAAGAAGGATTATTAAAATGACAGTTGTCAGAGTGAAAAGTTGCAATGACACAAATGTCACTCTTTCCTTTTCCTTTGTAAGAGTCTAATGGAAGTTGTCTTTATCGCACCCATGGCCTATAATTTAACCTATGTTGCGATCAAAAATGGAGCGACCTGTATAAAAAGAATCGAAATGTTTATTTTTATTTTTAGAAGCAAAAACGGCAAGGCGACGGCCGCGTCTCTGGCGAAATCGGACGATACGAACGGCTCGTCGGATTATTCCGACATACTGAACTACCTCCCCGTACCTCTAAGGTCGCCGGCGAAGTTACCGCAACGCATCGACGACGACGACGACGACGACGAAGTGGAAGAAACCGACGAATCCAAAGAAACTAAAGTGCCTTTAAGGATCAAACGGAAATCGAAGAATTCCATCGACAATCCGCTGATACCGTTCGGGATCCTCCTGCCCGAAGGCGTCACCATAGCGCCGGTGATTGCGACGGCCGATCACGACAGGGACATCGCGATCGTACACAATTTCTTTTCGAATCAATTGTGGAAGCCCGAGTACATCGGGGCGTATTCGTGAGAATCGAGTTGCGTAACGGTGATGCGTCCTGTCCCCATTTTCGTACTTAGTACTTAGTTCGATTGGTCGATCGTTCGCGCAAGCGCCTTCGCCGAGATTGCTCTGTCGTTTGTGCTACTAGAGCATCACGAAAATGAGTTTCGATTCCGATTAAAATGTTTGTATTTATTTACCGTGGCCTTTTGGAAGGTGCTAGTCGTGCATCTGGTTCGCTTGTAAAGCGGTATACAGGGTGTTTGAGGTTATTACCAATAAAATCTAAGAACTAGTCAGTGTATTCTACATGAAATTTTTTGTTTGTCGAAGGAGCATTTGGGCGAAATGCGCTTGCGCTAATGGTGGTAAAAAAAAGTAGATAAGGTATGGATTACAGTAATTTTTACAAAGATGGATATAAATTTACGTATTGTTATTTATATATTGAGTTTATTCTATAGTTACTAACTAATGAAAGAGTTTTATTAATTTTTTGTTTTAACGGTTATTTCATGTGATAGGTTATTAAGGGTTTTTATTTTTAATTCATTTATTATTATTGTTGATATCAACGTTTAGTTTATTTTTTCTTTTTTCTCGACGTTTAGTCGCTAAAATATAGATATTTTATTAATATTTACACACTTATATTTCCGTAAACCGATTTAATTTATATTATACTGTTTTTTTTATTCGTTTTGTTAATGTACAAGGTTGTATCTTAATTAATTGGTAAGTTGTTCGTATCGAAATTACGAGGAATGTTTCCAAAGTTATGCGAATTGTGAACAGGCCTTTTTGTGACCATGGAACACTTTAAATGGCTCCAATTTGTCTAGAAGGCTCTAATGTAATTAGAGCACAATTCCCAGTACTTCGTAAACACCCCTCGTACAAACAATTACCGAAATTTGAGGAAATTTATTGTTTTTATATCGGCAAATGCAGTTGACAGTTTCCTTCTACGAGTAATTGTGTCGTGTTAACCGAGCTTAGTTAAGATTAACCGTGTATACGCAGATTTACAACGGGTTAGGAATGACGGATAACATTCTTTTCTGTGATATGATACCAAAATACGATACGGGACCGCGATAAATATCTGTATGCTCGAAATACACAATCGGCTGGGCCTTGTACTTAAGCATTTGGAATAGGTGTAAATTGAAATTGTTCCATTGAAAGAGATCAACTATAGCCGGTCGCAATTCGACGTTAAACGTGTGTTAAAGCGATTTGATACGTTTCTCTTGCATAAAAGCTAGTTAGATAAACACCTAAGCATCTCGTATTCGTTGTTCCTATACCTCGAAATCAAACTACAGCTTGCCTTCGAGTAACGTGAATTGTTATACTTATATGAAACTGGTTTTGATGTCTATAAATGGTTGATTTTGTAGCAAATTCTGTCCGTATTGTGATAAATAAAACGAGTAATTCAATTTTATAATCTACGAATAGATAAGATGAGATGTAAAATGATTTTTTTCAAAAATGTGCCTGTATTTTCACCAAAATGTTTGATTGAATTACTTATTTATAATCGACAGATTTGCGATGAATTAAAAGAAATTTTTACAAATATTTAAATTGGGCTTTAATAAGGCAAATTCCAATGTAGCTAATTAAACATTTTTATCAACTAATTTAATCAATTTGCACTTTAATTATTTCAATATTAGACGATAAAAAAATAAAAAAATAATGATTTGAAAGCGTCTCAAGTACTTCTTGGGTATTTTTGTTAAACTAATCGATATTTTTGTGCTTCACATTTAATTTCCAATTAAATACAGGAAGTTTTTGAAATAAATGGTCAAACTTTGGGAGCAAGTAGAGAACCTCAAAATATGACAAAAACTTAAATGTCATTTTAAAAAAAAGTTTAATTTAACCACTTATTTCACAAACACCCTGTATAACTCGATAAAACTGAGTCTGTGGTTCAAAGTAAACTTAATGTGCCTTAAAGAGTTTAACAAAATATAAAAAAAAACTAATACGAATTTTACGAGAAAAATAATATACTTAAATTATTTCGACAATCTTTTTTAATTTTAAGTGGTACAGTACCTTTAATTCGTTTCGTTTGTAACTAGATAACTTTAATTTCGTTGCGATTTTTTATGATGATGCGGTAGGAGGAGCAAAAAAATATAATTTCGATACGCCGGGTTGGTTCTTATACGTCCAATTACGTGGAAAATCCGTTGCTAAAATGAGTAATAATTTCTTTATAGTGGTTCCTACTTGTGTTTTTTTGTTTACTTACAAGCATCGCCTCTGTTAGGGGGGCCGGTTACGGTGAAGATTGATTTTTCTACTTAACTGCAGGTCATGTAATTCCTGTAAATGCTGGTTAATTTGCTGTAAACGTAAATTCTAAAAAATCTGTGATTAATGTCAATATTAAAATGGTACCGGACAGTTCTGAACTTGCGCGGTTCTGGAAGGTATTGTAATTTTATGCATATATTTACCGGGCTATTAATGTTAAAATAAAACTAATAAGGACCAATTGTTGTATCTTTTTGGTTGAAACAATGAAACATTCGAGCCAATAATTATAAATCAGAAGGGTCATAAAAGGTGTAAAGTTAAAACTATTAATAAAAAACTAGGTTTAGTATTTTTAAATTGCACTCCCAGTTTTTTAGATAGTTTTAATTCGTGCTACACCCTATACAAGTTTTATTAAAAGTGCCCCAACGCATTTTTCTTGGGAGAAATATTTTTCTACGAGTCACTTATACCTATCGAGAAGAAATAAACATTTTCTTCTATTACTTTTACCTGTTTATAATTATTGTTACAATATTTATATTTTGCAAATTGTACCTTAAAAACTTGTTGTCAATAAAAAATTGTTTTTTAACGAACATTTTTATTTTCACCACCTCTTTGAATTAAAAAAATACATCAAGTGATTGCTTTGTCGCGATTTATTAATCACACAAGCATATTTACTGTGTAAACGGGGTTTAATTACCGAAAAATAAATTTAATTAACACAACAGATGTCCCGTAAATATATACTTTCTATAAAAGCACATTCCCATATTTCTACCGTTTATACGTTATGGGCTTTTATCAGGATCGTGGGCTTATCGAACAGTTAAAGTGCAATATAAACAACAGTCAATTTTGCCATAATGGAATCAGTTCCTGTTAATATTTCGAATATGGATATTCATAACAGGTGTAATGGTTTAAATTGAATTAGTCTAAAATGGATTTGAATACAAATGACACCGATTTTGACGATGTAAGTAATAGAAGACTTATTTTTTTTTTGTATTTGAGTTATTAGTTCGTTTGCTCGCCATATATTTTTAATTCATAAGTATGTATGTACACTGTGGAATTAAACGGATGGATATGGACAAAAAAAGGAAAAACGATAATATGTAAATTCAAAGTTTGGAAAAACTGAAATTTGTAGCATTTGTACGTCTCTAGAGTGTCGTAAATTTATGCTTTTTACATAAAATTAAGTCTCCAATCATTGAATAAATGATTATTTTTAAACTTAAATGCGGTTTTTTATGAGGATTTAATAAGAAGTAGGTTGTGGTAGATAAAAACTATTTTAAAATCGTCTAGGAACCTTCAAGATTATTAATAGTATAACAAATTATAATTTGTTCACATAATTATATATTCACATATATTTATATCAAAAGTTCAAATATTAGCCACATCAACCCGAATTCCACGCTCCTTTTTAATTTTAATCAATCGTTTAAAGCGTCTCTTTAAGTAGATAGTTGATCGTGGAGTAATTAAGGACATTATTTCCGTTAAAGAGACTCTTTAATAGAGGTTATAATTTAATTTAATAGAATAGTTTATAGAAAACACTTCACACATTTTTCACTTCACATATTTTCCAGTTGTCATTATTCGAGGTGGAAAGAAGCGTAAGTATACCCATTTATTCCCCACATATGCCCACACAATCCCGGAAAAACCATTTCCAGATAGACTATTCGACCACACCTTTCATCAACAACATATGGGTATCGAAAGATTGCACGGAAATCATACTGAAGACATCCGCAGTCTTGCCGGTGGTGATCTTCGGGGTGTTCGGCAACGTCATGGTCATCTACATACTGTGGAAAAACGTGAAAATTCGCACCCCAACTAACCTGCTCATCGGCCACATGGCCGTAGCCGATTCCCTGTCGCTGCTCACCCATCCCTGGGTCACCCTCACCTACGATTTCTTCCAAAATTACCAGCTCGGGGTGGTGGGTTGCAAGGGAGAAGGAGCTGCAGAATGTAAGTTAAAGAATTTACAGTTGTTTAGTGCACAGAGGTCTTCTTTAGTAGTCCAAAATCATATCAAAATGACTCAAAAAAGTCTAGCACTTTTGGATCTCTAGATTTTTTTCTTTAATTAATCGATTCAAAACACTGGGTTCTTACAGGTTCCATTCTCATAGCAAGCGTGATCAGTATGTCAGCCATCACGTATGACCGTTTGACTGCCATAGTGCTGCCGAAAGAGACCAGAATAACTAAAAAGGGGGCCAAGACGATTATGGTGGTTACTTGGATAATTGGACTGTTGTTATCCGTTCCCATATATTTAAACAGGCAATACAGGGTAGGTGAACATGATAATACAGGGTGATATAGTCGTATTTTGTCCAGATTTGCCATACTATAATCTATGAAGAAATTATGAGAATTTTAGGAGAGGCAATGGAAGGATTTTTTGGAGAAATACTGCACGGAAAACGTGGTTTTTCTTAACATCTACTGGTATGTTATCATAACAGTGATGGTTTATCTGCCGTTGATTATCCAGATTATTTGCTATATCACGATATTCCTTAAGGTGAGCTTAATTAGTAATTAAACACGATTAATAGAGTTCTTGTTGCATGACGATTCTTACGACATAAGATGTAAGATGCTCTGTATATAGTTTAATTTACGCCTTTAGCTGGACAAATACGAAAAAATAGCCCTGAAAAAACTGGGCCAGCACATAAACTACAAGAAAAAAGCGGCCATTATGATGTTCATTGTTACCATCGTATTCATGGTCTGCAGGCTCCCATTCACAGCCTTTATTATATACAGGCATCAATTAATAAAAGGCAAAAAACTCGGCGGTTCCATGGACGTAACATACCAAGTAAGTTCTCTTTAACAACGTAAATCCCGTGAAATTTCGAACGTTTCTTCTCGAACGAAATCCATTCCAGGTAAACCAAGTGTATTATGTGCTTTGGTTCGTTTCCAAGTACTTGATTTTCATCAATTCCGCCATCAACCCGTTAATATACGGGGTGACCAACGAACAATTCCTTCGAGCTTTCAAAGCGACGAAAGTAGCCAGGTTGATATGCAGGATGAACCCCAACAGAGCCATCCCCAAGGAATCCAAGAAAATCAAATCGGACACGACCAACAGAAACGGGATTTTCTACATTTTCAAGAAGAATAAACGCCACCTGCAGGAAGAAAACACCAAAAAGACTTTCATCAACACTCATTTATAATTTATATTGATGTATTTAAAATTGGATGAAATGAGTGAAAATAAAGACGACGATGAAAAAATCAAAATGTGCATCTTTAGCAAATCGGATATTTATGTAGCGATCTTGCAGTTAGTCATTCCTGGTGGGCTTCCTGCGAGCGACTTTTCGCCTCGGCGTCGCGGCGCTTCGGTAAAAAAGGGCACGAAATCGCGCCTGCGTCTCCGCCGCGACGGCTTCCCCGTAGGAAAGGCGTTGCGACGGCGGTATTCCAGTCTCGACCGTGGCCCGATTGGGGTGCGTTTTACGGGGTGGTTTTCCGAATCGGGCCGGCCGTACGATCGCGATTACGCCTGTGAGATTTTAACATTTTTTTCCACTGATGATGGATCGGTACGTACGAAACTTTCCAGCCGGAATTTTGTAGCGGATAATTAGCAGTTTTTATTCGTTTACTTGTTCTGTTGAATTTCGTTAAAAATTGGTAATTAAAAAAAAGTTATTTTTTTTGTAGAAAACAAAATTTGCTTAATAAAATAATTAATTTTGTTTTATTTTGAATGGACTTATACAAAGAAACAATTCTGTATATTTCGTATTTAATTAAGCATTATAATTTACTAATTACATTGATTAATTAGCTCGTTCCGGTTTTTATCTTTATTTAAATATGTAAACAGGCGTATAATAGAAGTTATTTCTTCACAATAGGCATCCATGGAGCATTAAAATTCATAATCAAGTGGGCGTACCTCCTTTAGTCATAATTTTCAACTATTTATAATTACAATTCTTGTTTAATTACTTCTACAGAATGGTATATTAAATAATTCCTGTGCATATTCCACGAAATTGCCTTCTAATTGTTCGCTCAATTAGGAGATAATTAGTCATTATTTAGTTTTCCATTATTAATAAGACCGATTCGGAGCGATCGAAGAGAATTTAATTCTTGTCTTTTCCTTTAATTCTCTGTTATCGCGAAGTTTTCCATTCCTAGCCAATTTAATCTGATGATTTAACGTTAATTTAATTCCTGCAATTGCGTAAGAGAGTTAATTGCAATTCACAAGTACGGATGGGATAATGAGGGATTTTTTTGTTCGATTAGAAACTGCTAATTAGATGTAAATGAAGGTGAGAGTAAATTAAAAAAAAACTTTAAATTAAAATGAAGATAAATTGAATTGACTTAAATAGAGTGAAGTTTCTACTAGGAGTTCATTCGAAGGATTTAGGTGAGTTATTGAATAATGAATCACCCGGTATAGTGTGTAGAGATTTACAAAAACATTCTAAAGTAACTATTCCTTAGAGTGAATACAACTCTATTAACGACATCGGTGGCTTTTCTTTACTACTCAATAAGCTCAAATCGACTGTAGATAAATATGTAAGAGCAATTTGTAAGTACTAAAAGAAGAAAATGTCGATAATAAACTTATTCAAGTGTGACGAGTATCCATAATGCTTTTGTGCAATTGAGGAAAATGTCTTTATCTAAAGTAGGTTAACCGATTGGAGCTGTAAAAATGATTCCTTTTGAAGGTGTCAACTCGAAGTTGGAAAGGAAACGAAAAAAGGAAAAAACGGGACACAAAGGAAGTTAAAAGAATGACGAGTTCGTTCAAAGGAGTGGACATAATAGGTACATTAAACGTCTATAATATCGCCTTGAATTTCCCAGCGATTTTCGCTCGTAATAATTTTTCGAAATTGGGACCTTCTCTGAACTTAAAGGGGACCGAAAGCAGAGGAAATTTTAAACGAGAGGTATCCCTATATTTTTGGATGTACAGCACAAAAATAGCAATGAAATAATCGAATCGCGAAACTCTTTCGGTCTCTTTCCGCTAGTAAAACTTTCCGATCCATTAAATCCCGAACGATGGTAAATGATAGATGAGGAATTCCGGCTACTCTATGCACGAGCATATATTTATGCGAAGGGCATATTTATGCCGATGTGTGTACAGGAAAATTGAAAATGCTACCATTCCTCGCCGAATATAAGAGTAAATACACACACAACGTGAGCTGGATGAGATTGAGGCAGGAAAGGACGAACACCCAGATATATCTAAGAACGTATTAAAAATGAATGATTTTATGGATATTTCACTCGTATTTCAAAAATCTAGCAAGATAGATGTAAAGATTGTACATCCTGTATGAGTGTTTTGACCACATAAATAATAGTAACCGAATATTACTAATATTCTCTAATGTATCTACAAATTCTCGTTCATCTCAACAACAAGAAACTATTAGTTGTATATGGATTTCCATTACGTTGAATTTATCGGAAAACCACTTAACGTTTCTACCTGAAGATAACGGATTACTTCTAAATGGCGACCGATATTGCGATATTCCATTTATACGGCAGATAATAATAATTTACCCTTTCCTGCTGTAGATCAAATTCTCGACGAACGGGATTTAACGATTCTTGGACGTGCTGCAAACGTTGTCACAAATACGCCGCGACGCCGTCTTGATCGATGACAGTTTGCAAATTAATACATTAACCCTCCATCTTGCTGGTATCGTAATTTGTTCCTTTAATGTTTTACAGGGCGAGGTAAATTTCTAAGGGATAGAATTCATAAACGATTCTCGAATTTTTAAACATAATTGATTTGTTTTCCGAGACGCAAGAGGCCAAAGTTGGTTATTTTTTTTTGACTTTTGACGTTTGAGTTAGAATATTTTTACCAATGTCTTACATGCAGGTCTGGAAACTTTGTTCAGGGTCTCGTTGTTTGAAGCGGAACTGCGTAGTACCTACAGCGACGTTGATTCGCGAAATTCGTATAAGTTTGAATGTTAATCATGCGCCTCGCTGATAGATGCCCGAGAGAACTATAAGAAAGCGTCTTCAAAAATCGTCCTGTTTCCAGACCTGTATATACGACCGTGACAAAAACTAAAGTACATAATAAAAAGCAAATGTCGATAGAAAGTAGTAACTTTTGCTGTGACTGTCGGTGTATAAAAATTAAGGAAGAAGTACTAGAAGAAAACTCAATTTTCTCTTGTATCGACTGGTTTTCCCATCGTAGAAATCGACGGCTCGAATCAGGTAAACATTTCAAATGAAAGTATGGCGCACGTATTATTTTTAGCTTCGAAAAGATCTAGATAACAACAAAGAAAAATAATAATCCAATTTGCCCCTTAACCCATAACCCATCGTCGAGAAATACACAAAAACCAATCAATCATCCAATCGAATCCAACACAATTGAATCCGCCTCTATATACATTTATTGCATTTAAAAATAAATAAAAAATATATAAAGATAAATCGCCGGGGATTGTTCTTGGAGCAACTAGACACTGATTGAGTCATCCCCGCAATTTATATATAAAAAGGAATCTTCCTCTTTTTTGCAGGGTGTGTGTGTGTGCATTCAAAGGCCGCGATAAAACGAGATTTCTTTGCTCGGGGGCGTGGAATCGGATAAATTGCGATTTTCCGATTTAGAAATCGAAACTTCATTGTACGAGATATAAAGTTGGGGATATTCGAGTGGGCCGGGAAGGTCAAACCTTACGTGATTTCTCGCCCATAATTTAGACTGAAATTTATTCCGCTATTCTCGGACGTTTCACCTGATTGAGGGAAATTTTTTTTATGAATCCATCATTCCCGATATCGGCTCGTTTATATACTCAATGTTGCCAGCCTGAAAGAGATCTTTTCGTTATTATAAAACCACCTAAAACGTATACATCTTGGTCTATTTCCGATTGCAACATGGTCATTTCTATGAGTGGAACAAAGAAAGATTATAAAAATGACAGTTGTCAGAGTGAAAAGTTGCAATGACACAAATGTCACTCTTTCCTTTTCCTTTATAAGTGTCTAATGGAAGTTGTCTTTATCGCACCTATGGCCTATATAACCTAAGTTGCGATCTAAAATGAAGCAACCTGTATAATTGGCATAAAGAGCTAAAACAGGGCATATAATATAATTAAGTAAAGTTCGTACGTTTTAAAATGACAATGACGTCACGAGCCGGCCTGTTGCAATGTTGCCGGGTTGTAATTGAAATCCTTTTTTTGACAGATACATTAATTTAAAACGTAATAACCACTGTTATTATGTAATCTTCTTTTGTTCATTTCATAGAATTGACCATATTGCATTATTGCAATCAAACCTGCATTAACTTATATAACGCTTATTTAGAAGATAAATTGAAACTAAAAGCCGTTACCAGTCGCGAATATGGAGCAATATTAATCGAAGCAGAAGATCTATCAACTAAAACCGAACTAATGTTGCATGAATACCAACATGACAACGTCATTTGTTTCGTATTATTTCCCGGCCCGCGCGATCCTGCAAGACCTTGTTAATATTACGCTACTCAGGAGACAAGAGACAATTGTCTGCTAACGTCAATATAGAAATTCTTATCTAATGAAACAGACGAGCAACCGAAATGAAATGACGTACAATACAAGGAAATTTATCATCTTTATACGAGGTCCAGCATTCCACTATGCTGCAAATAGACGGTTCAAATTTTTAATATACAAGGTGCCTCAAAAAATCGCTATATTATTGCGAAAATTTGGCTTGGGTTGCGGGAATAAATAAAACGAATGCTGAACTTATAAACTATAAGAGCTCTCATGAAAATCCCGATTAATTATACCGCACTTGGCGCTTTTTCGGCACCAGAAAAGAAGTTTTCAGCGGCGAACAAAGTAAGCGATATAAAAGGAAAAAAGATATCCGGTGAATCGGCGAACCGGTTCTGTTCCGAGCGTATAAGAAAAATGAAATAACTTTTGTCGTTTACGTCCGGAGAGTTTATTAAATAACTAAGTATCTATCCGCATCGGTGTGGATCTTTCATCAAAACGATATAACAGTGGGTTTACCAAAAGCGACCGTTTCTCCCATTCTTCTGCCAAAATAACCGGTGAATTTTATTCCAGCCTTTGATATTGTTATAAATCAGGGATTTTCTTTCAACGAACAATCGTTGATGCTTTTAATTACTAATTATACAGGGTTTTACATTAGGTCATTAGAACTTTTAGTTGTTTCTGAAGAGTTAGAGGAATCTAATAATGTAGGGGTAAAGGATAGGACTAATGTGAGTTTTTCTAATATCCAAAGCTCTGCGAAAATTCTATTCTGGAAGTTCTATTATTGGACCAACCTGTATACAGGGTGTTAATTAATTGATTACCGATACTTTGGGATGTGAATATTTGAAAGATTTTAAGAAGAAAAGTTTCGAGCTACAGTGTGTTACAGTTTTAGAGAAAAATTACTTTTCTAATAATACTTTTTAATTTTAATACTTTTCTACATCTTAAAATCATTCAAATATTTTCATTCTGAAGTATTAATTAATAAATTATAT